CTAAGAATATATCCCCACTCCAATAATACAAAATACTATTTTAAATTTTAGATATTACCCTTCTAAGTATCTTTAATCCATCTAGAATTTTTTTTTTACCTGTGGTTTGATGTCGACAACTTTGTTTCATCAAACTGGAAAACCAAAGAAGTCTTTTCATTTAATAAATGAATTACTTTCAGTTTCTTGACTCTGTTTTGTCTTACAAAATATTTAGTTACTGTTTCTGTGTTGGTACCATACTATTTTGCTTATCATAGTTTTTTAGTATATTGGAATGTTTGTTAGGCAAAATGTCCCCCACCCCCCTTTTTTTTCACGATTTTATTGGGAATAGATTATCTTAGAGATAGTGGAATCTTCAGTATTTTGCATTTTAATATGTTTGCTTTTGGTATCTAGTAAATAATTTATCATTTTTGGGCAAGTTCTTTGTATTCTCATTATACTTAAGTTAACATTGAAAGAGATTTACTTGACTGTAATTGAGTGACCTGAGCAGCAGGGGCTTAGTGACATTTTCTAATTAGTGACTAATTTCTTAGTGACATTTCTAGTCCAATCATAAATCTTGATTCTGAACTAGATAAGTAGTGTTTAAGTAATCCTAGTACTCCAAATGTTTTTTTAACATGGATTTTAAGATTTGGGGATTAACCAGAGGACAAAGCTTACTTAGAAGGCTTCATTATAAATATGGAACAGAATGTAACTGATATAAAATAAATTGATATAAAAATAAAAATCTAATTCAAAACTGAGATATGGAAAGGAGATTGTAAGTGAAAAAGGTGTGTGTGTGTGTGTGTGTGTCAGGGGGGTAGTGTGTGGAAAATCCTTATTTTTCTTTTTGTAAAGCAAGCAGATACTGCCTAAAATGATGTATTATTTAAAGTTATGATGACAACTCTAGCTACCAAGAACAGTTATAAGACAAAAACAGAATGTAGTTCTGTCTGGTGAGTGGACATTATATGGAAGGAGTGCTTATTTGGGGAGCCTTGTGTAAGTCTTGATTTCTTCTACCATGTACAAGTTTATTTAATTTATTTCCAAATGAAGTTGCCATGTAGTAATAGAGAAAAATCTTTAGGATATATTTTTTATTTGGAACAAATCAAGTTATGTATATAACAGTGAGTTGTAATGTGGCTACCTTTTTTGGTAATATATACATACTTCTATTTGCATTACAGAAATGGAGAAAAGGTTGAAAATGGGGCAGAGAGAACAAGGGAATAAAGGAAACTGTTTTGATTCATGTAAATGTATGGCTAAATGAAATAAGCCAGATACAGAATAACAAATACAGTATGATCTCACTTATATCAGAAGCAGAGAGTGGAATGGATGGGTGCCAGGGGCTGTAGGTAGGAGGAAGTGAGGGGGGTGATGGGCAGAGGGTACAAACTTTCAGATACACAAAGTAATTAAGTTCTAGTGATGTGTTACACAGCATAGTGCCTACAGCTAACAATACTATATTATATACTTAAAGGTTTTTTGACAGCTTAAGTCCAGTTTCTTACCACACACACACACACACACACACACACACTCAATCAGTATAAGGGGGGGTGGGAGGAAACTTTGGGAGGTGACAGATGTCTGTGGCCTCGATGGTGGTGATGGTTATGAGTGTGTATCCTCAAACTCATCGAGTTGTATGTATTACATACATATAACTTTCTACATGTTGATCGTACCTCAATAGATCGCCTTAAAAATAAGGATTGCTGAAAAATCTTTAAAGAAATAGCCAGATTAAAATTCTGGAGCTTATATGTTGAGTTAATATCTTTTTATTTTATCAAGAGAATGGTAGAATAAAACTTACTTTACCTTTCTATATAATCTGTGAGCTTGATATTTAAAGTTTAATCTGAGAATTGGTTTTAGTAGTGCCCAGGATACTGTCACAACAGGTAACATGTTGGAGAAATGGATCTTTTGTAATTTGATGAAGAGTTAATTTTGTTTTGCAATTTGGGAAATGAAAAATTTGTATGTACCTAATTCCTTCTTTCCTCCCTGGGTCCTCTCAACCTTCCTTTCCTCTCCCCTGTCCCCCGACCCCCTTTTCCCACCTTCCTTCTACCTAAATCCCTATGCTCAGGGTTTTTATAATCCGGGCTGGAGACCTATGGCTGACCAGGATGTTAAGCTCTTAAATACTAGTGGGGAGGTACCAAGATTTTCTACAGGAGGTAAATTTCAAGAGGTTATTGTAGGAATTGCTATTGAACCTGATTGCAGATACTTTTCATTTTGGGTGTGATGTATTGAAATTTTTAAAAATTGTTGACTAACATTTAAATTTTTTAAAAAGATTTTATTTATTTATTTGAGAGAGAGTATGCACACATGAGCTTGGGGAAGGGCAGAGGGAGAAGCAGACTCCCCACTGAGCAGGGAGCCCAGGACCCTGAGATCATGACCTGAGCCAAAGGCAGACACTTAACCAACTGAGCCGCCCAGGCACCCTAAATTAAGATTACATTTTATATGAATTTGGTAGACATTTTATTTTATTCGTTCATGTTCAGTTAGAATTTTGTTTTAATCATCTATAGTTGGAATTTTTTTTCTTAAATTTCTTTATATACCGTTAGAATAGAGGAAAAAGCATGGACTGAAAAAGACTAGGTTTGAATCCCAAACCTACTGCTTACTAGATCTGTGACTTTGGAGAAGTAATTTAACTTCTTTGAGCTTTAATTAGAGTTGAGAGGATTAAATGAAATATCTGAAGGTTAAATGTACTATGTAATAATGCGTATATATCATCATGTTTAGCATAGTTTTAGCGCATAATAGGTGGTCAGTTAAGTATTTTTATTTTCTAGAAACCCAGAATAATAGAATGATACTTTTTAGTCTTCATTCTTAAAAATGTTTGTTGAACAAACAATATCATAGAGAAACTAAAAAGAATATAATCCACCCACAACTATTTAATTAATTAATTAATTAGTTAAGTAAGCTCTGTGCCCAATGTGGGGCTTAAACTCACAACACCGAGATCAAGAGTCATATGCTCCACTGACTGAGCCAGCCAGGCACCCCTCACCCAGAACTTCTTAATTCTGTATTTTCAACATACAGCCTTTTACAGTAGTTCTAAAAGTGCTATCCCTCGACCTCTGCCAGTCCCTGAGATCAGGGGATCTGTAAGGTCAAAACTATTTTTATAATAGTGCTAAGACATTATTTGCCTTTTCCACAGTTGTGGAATTTGTACTGAGGATACAGAAGCAATGATGAGTAAAACTGCTGGTCCCCTAGCTCAAAACAAGGCAGAGGCACCAAACAGCCCTTGTAGGTGTTCTCAGTTTAAAAAATGAAACATTTTCACTTATGAATGTCCTTGATGAAGAAGTAAAAACTGTTTTAGTAAATCTCAGTCTTTGAGTGCACATGGCTTTAATATTCTGAATGACAAAATAGGAAGTATGCATGAAAACACTTCTGTTACATACTGAAGTACCAGTAATTGTCTGGAGTAAAAGCACTGGTGTGATTACTTGAATTATGAGCTGAAGCTAGCTGCTTTTTTACTTGAAAGTAACTGCAGACTAAACTGTGATTATTCAGACTTGACATTTGGCAGATATTTCCTAAGAAAGAAATGAAGTGAACCTACCACTTCAAGAAAAACAACTGGTAGTATTTGTTACCAATGATAATAAATCTAGCTTTCATGGTAAAACAAGAAATTTGGAAAACTTGTCATCTGCCAGCCTGACTTGGTCATTTTCTCAGTACTTGAACTACTCTGATGAGATTATTGATGATACTAACAAATGCATTTTTTTTTTTATATCGTATAATGAAATGTGAAGTTTGGAAAAGTTCTAGAACCCAGTGAACACATATTTTACAAATGGGTGAGAGAGCCATTCAAAGTGCATGGTAGACCAGTGGATTTCAGTATACGTGTACAAAAGCATTCATTTGAAATGGTTTTAGATTCTAACTTGCAAACTAACCTTTAAGAAATGACTACTTTTTGGGGTGCCTGGCTGGCTCAGTTGGTAGAGCATGCGACTCTTGATTTCAGGGTCCTGATCTCTACCTTGGGTGTAGAACTTACTTAAAAAATAAATAAATAAAATTAAAAAAAAAATGACTACTTTTTGAATTTGGTGAACTATCAAAGAAGAATATCCACAGTTACCTGAAAAGGTATTAAAACATTCCTCCCTTTTCCAACAGAGTATTGTGTGGATCAGGAATTTTTTATATAATTCAACCAAATCATATCCTTGATTAGAGAAGTAGATATGAAAATCTAGTTGTCTTCTATTAAGTCAGGTTTTAGAGATGTGCAAAAATGTAAAAGCCTTTTTTCTCACTAAATTTTTTATTTTTGAAAAGGATTATTTTTTATTAAAATGCTATTTGTTAACATGTAATGATTTTATTTTAAATTGAATTTAAGTGTTTTAAAGTTTTTTCAGTTTTACTACCAATATAGTAAATATAGATGTTAAACTTGTATAAACAAAGACCCTTTGAAGTCTTCCATAATTTTTAAAAAAAAATATTTTATTTATTTATTTGAGAGAGAGAGAGAGCACATGAGAGGGGGGAGGGTCAGAGGGAGAAGCAGACTCCCTGCTGGGCAGGGAGCCCGATGCAGGACTCGATCCTGGGACTCCAGGATCATGACCTGAGCTGAAGGCAGTTGCTTAACCAACTGAGCCACCCAGGCACCCAATCTTCCATAATTTTTAAAGAGATCTTGAGTCTGTAAAGTTGGAGGAGTGCTTCTCATTTTCTTTTTGCTCTTTTAGCTGTTATCTATATGAATACTTTTGGTTAAAATAATTGTAAACCATAATGTGATTTATTAATCTTGTTATTAATATAGTTGTGATAAGTTGGTATAAATATTAGAGTAATGATAAAAAGGCAAAACTTTCTTCAGATGAAAACATCTTTGGGTCTTCCTGAAATTAAGTGAAAGGGCTAGATTTAACCAACTATGTTGTTGGCAGTTTATTCTCTAAGTTCCCTCTTTCTACTCTCACTATTCTCTAAGATCTATCTATCTATTTTTTCTCCCTCATGTAGCCATCCCCATATATCCTTAGAGTATGCTCTCTTTTGAACTACTGTTACAGAGTTTCAGTTGAAAACTGGTAGCTACATTTCTCTTTTGATATTTTCTATCACTACTTCTCTTTTGGTATGTTCTGTTACTACTAAATGTGTGTATTATGCTCCCAGTCTCTTTTGCTGTGACCCTGTATAAGTTGTAGTTATTAGCTTGGAAGATTAGGTAACTTAGAAGACCGTGATTGGCTGTACCATAAAAGCAACTTAGGAGAGTTCATCTGTGCAAAGCACAGTGACCTAAATCAGATATGTACTCACTGTCCCTGGAATCTTCAAGGGACTTAACTGCATTACATTGTCAAACACAAGGCATTTACATATTACCATGGAAAGATTTCGCCTGGAGAAGAAGTTACCTGTATGTACCTGATTGTGATCTTGTGTTTTATTTACAAACAGATTTGACTTTTTCAGTTTACTAGTGAAGCTTGAAGAAATGTCAGGCTTATTAGCATTGGCTTAGAATAGTATCATCCTCTGTGTCCTTGGCTGTGGAAGTCATATGCTGAAAAGAGTAAATCCTTGGGTAAAGTTAGCAATGTTTGTAACATCTTTATTATTCTATAAAATTAGGTTTTTTGATTAATATTACTTGAATGAAGCTTTTAAAAATTCCGTTTGGCCAAGATATTAGGAAAGAAGTCACTTTGTCTTTAATGGTTAAGTATGTTTTGAATATAAACTGAAATATTTTATAACTCTTTGTGCTTATAATCATAATTTATTGGAGGTGTTACTTTTGGGCTGTGGTCATATGTCTTATGTAATGAAGAAATTAATTTGTGATAGGGATCTTCTTATGCTGTTTTATAACAGATTTTGTAAACCTCAGGTGTCCAAAAAGGGTATGACTAGATTTATGAATATGTTGTTAAATAATCTTTTAACATTCTTTTTTTCCTTAAAATTATGCCTTTGACATGTTAAAGTTTGAGTTTTGGTCTTTTGGCCAAGAAAATACACATTACAGATTTTGCTGTCTCAGGTGGAAAAATGACTTATGGGAAGAATTAGTAAAATGTGTTAACATAGTTATAAAGTCTGTTTCAGATAGTTTGATTTTGCTGGGAATTCCCGCTTGTGAATTGAATTTTGGTTTTATCATGTGTTGATGGGCTTTTTTGTTTATAAACTGATCTACTACATTTTCAAAATACTGAGTACCTTTGTATGTTTGAGCTTTAATTGTGTTCATAAGGAGTCTTTAAGTGAATCCAGGGTAGATTTTTAGCTGAGTAGTCTTGTCCTTTGAAACATACTCAACATTCCACTATTAGAGAGCTTACCAAGAATCCTGCTTGATGCTTAGGATATACTGGTGAGCAAAACAGACATGATTCCCCTCTTCTTGGAACTTATTGTTCTACTGGAAGATAGTAGAAAGAGGTTAAAGAAGTAGTTATATAAGTATGTAAAGAATATCAAAGTAGTAGTTACATAAATATGTGATTATAAGTTTTAACAGATGCGGTAAAGAAAGTACTGTGTGTTCTCAGCATATATTATAGTGACCTTGGTCTGTTGTCTTGTGGGTAAAGAACCCATGTAACTGGGACTCTACAGAGACCTGGCTTTTAATTTCAGTTCTTTCACCAGCTCACAGTGTAATCTTATGTCACTTAAGCTTTGTGTGTGTGTGTGTGTGTGTGTGTATGTGTAATGTATATATAAAATCTGGACATTGAACTGAAAAAGTAAAGCCTGTTGATACCTATGAGTCTGTGAGGTCTCATTCATTAAGATTAGGAATGGAAAAGAGAATTCATTTACCTCCAGATTTTTTTTTATCATGGGGAGCCATTTAGCTGTAAATTAACTGTTAAGCTGGAAATTTGATTGTATTACAGTTTTTCATTCACTGATCTATCTCTGGTACCTGAATAATGCTTGGCATATAGTATGTACTCAGTAAGTATTTGTTGAAAGAATGGATGACTTCCTTAATTCCTAGTCCTTTAAGGGAATGAAACTTCTTTCATGAACTGTTGGATTTATGGGGAACAAGGGTATTATCCAGGGGAAGAAGAGGCAGACTGACCATATGCTGAGGGATTTTCTGGCTGTCTCCTGTTGGTTTTCACTAGAAAACTGCAGTGGAACCCAAGTAATGATAACCTCATGCTGACTGGAGATGCGGAATCTTTTTTTTTTTTTAAAGATTTTATTTATTTATTCATGAGAGACGGAGAGAGAGAGAGGCAGAGGGAGAAGCAGGCTCCCAAGGAGAAGGGAGCCCGATACGGGACTCGATCCCAGGACTCTGGGATCATGACCTGAGCCGAAGGCAGACGCTTAACCATCTGAGCCACCCAGGCGCCCTGGAGATGCGGAATCTTGACAGAGCACCTACTGGACCTTATTTCAGTAACCATATACTATTTGATAACCCTGAAATAAGTGATCCATACGTGTTTTTTGGTGTGTGTGTGTACTGATTTGGAACTTGGAATGATTGTGTCTCCCCATAGATATAATACAATAAATATTTGTGATTTGTAGTTTCAAGTAGAAACCTGATGAGGCTTTCCATTTGTCCATAACTTGGTATTCCATTGGCATAGCCATTCCTCTATTAAGGGACTTTTGGATTGTGTCCAGTCTTTTCCTGTTATAAGCTGTAATAAATAACCTTGTACATGTGTCATTTCATACACAGAGAATTTAAACTTTCTTTATGATCTCATATGGCTCATTTTTTGTTGTCTTCTTTGTTATGGAGCACTTATAATCTGCTTAGTAACCTTATTTTAGAAGTAGAAACGGAACAGAAAATTGAAACCAAGGCAAATAATTTTAAGATTAGAGTGAGTCAGTCTTATACTGACATACTTTGGGTGCTTTTTTATTCTTCCATGTATTTGAATTTTCTCAGTGCCTTGGCATTATTTCATTTTAGGAAGGCTTTATAGGCATTGGCTTACATCACTCATTTGATGTTAAGAATGAAAACATTTTGATGTCAGGGGTTGTTCTTTGCTGACTATTTTTTAGTTTTCCACTATATTCTTGGAGTTAAAAAATGAAGTTTTTTCTAGATGCAAATATAAAAATAACTGACATTAACAGATTGAAATTTGAATTTATTCTTTTTAAATTACTAAAGTTAAATGTGTTTGTTGTAACAAAAAAAAATAAACAGTATTTTGATTGTTTCTGTGTTACTGCTTTCCTAATCATCAATGTGAGACAGTGTTAGTTTGAAGGTTAGCCTTCTAAATATTTATTACTGTGTAATACATTTTTGTATATACTTTAAAGAACACAAAGGTACTTTATATAGTATATAAACATCCTCTATATTTAGAGATATGGACTGAGGCATTGTTCTAAAATGATAGGATTTGAAGCACAATATGTTTGTTTCAGAAATGAATTGTCCCCTTGAAACATCGATGGCTTTGTCTAAGGGATTTTCAATATATAGTCATATGCAACCTGCAGACTTTGTTGAATTACTTGTAATATGTCAGGATGACCAGTTTGTATGGCCTACTTAATGTTTGCATTTATAGCAGATCGCCTTTTTGATTCATGTTTCACAGTTGTTGAAAAGCTACAAAAAGTTTTTAAGAGAAGGGAGAAATGCTGATGCTCCCCCCCCCTTCTTTATAGTGCTAATCCTATAAGTTTCTTGTACTCTTAAAATTTGAACTTTAGTTTGTTCTACCAGTTACACGTGAGAACATTCTTATTGAAAACCTAGTCAGTCACAGTAAAATAATAGTCTACTTGGCTTTAAGTTAAGTGACTTATGTAAGCTTCACGGACACGATTCAATGGGAGCAAGCTGGGTGGGCCATGAGAGGATGTGCTGGTGGACAGCCTTTTTTCGGCATGCCACTTTTTGCACATTTTAGGAGTGTTTTTGTATGGTAGATGTTTAGATGTCCAGCTTAAGCTGTTTTTGAGTGTTAGCTAATAGTGTTGTTAGTACATCTAAACATGTAAATATATCTGTAGAAATAAAAGGGTGTTTTTGGTTAGGGGTAAGAGAAAAATGTATTGTTTTGCTTCCTATCTTAGCGAGCATTCCTGCTAATGAAAGTTTAGAATGGGAGCAGTTAATTCCTTTTAGAATATACAGTATGCTACCTCTTGGGATAATCGTCTTGTAGGAGACTGCTTGTCTTGTACCTGTGCCTGAAATCACTTGAGGAGAGCTAAAGGTTTTAGAGTATGACATGCTTACTAATTTTACTTTTTTTTTTTATTTAAAGATTTTATTTTTTTATTTGAGACAGAATGAGAGAGAGAGAGCACATGAGAGGGGGGAGGGCCAGAGGGAGAAGCAGACTCCCTGCCGAGCAGGGAGCCTGATGCGGGACTAGATCCCGGGACTCCAGGATCATGACCTGAGCCGAAGGCAGTCGCTTAACCAACTGAGCCACCCAGGCGCCCTAATTTTACTTTCTTGTGGTTTTTTTTTTTTTTGTGTGTGTGTGTGTGGGTCTACGTATATATTTTTGTGTTTCCTACTTTAGCCTTTCCTCATTACTATTGGCGTTTGATTGTTGTGAGGCAGTTTGATGAACCACCCATACTGTTGTCACTCGTCTTTCTTAGTCCTTTATATGAAAATACACAGTCTGTTTCCCACTCGTAGATATGGAGCCTTAGCAAGTCATTTGACTTCTCGGCATTTTCTATATTAAATTGAACACCAATCCTTCAAAGTTCTATACAACAACTTCTTTTTTTTTTTTTTAAAGATTTTTATTTATTTATTTGACAGAGAGGGACATAGCGAGAGCAGGAACACAAGCAGGGGCAGTGTGAGAGGGAGAAGCAGGCCCTCCGTCGAGCAGGGAGCCCGATGTGGACTCGATCCCAGGACCCTGGGACCATGACCTGAGCCGAAGGCAGACGCTTAACGACTGAGCCACCCAGGCGCCCTACAACAACTTCTTAATACTCAACTCTATTGGATTAAATATTTGGATATCTAACCTTCAGAAAGTAAATTTGGATATCAAGAGATCTGCATGGCCTTAATGTATTGTGTCTGGTTCTGAATTTTGGGAAGCAAATAGAGTTTGGATAGCAGGGGATTTGTACAAAAAGGTAATCAAATTGATTCAGTTCCTGAATTTAAAGGTTGGAGAATTTAGACACAGAATTTGGATAGCAAGGCACATTTGTATATGAATCTACTTTGTATACATTGAAAAAAGCTATACACAAACGTATGATATTGTAGATCAAAAGTTGAAGGAGACGTTAATAGAGCATCTTAACCAACCTCCTGTTTGGTCCTTTCTTAAATAGTCTTCCAGTTTATGCTTGGACATTGAAATTGGTTAGAAGCTATGTTCTGTCTGGTTTATTGTTCTAAGTGTTAGAGGAGATCCTGGACCATAAGACCAGCCATAAAATGGGAATGGCTAAAAATGTGTCTTGCAAAATTTGAAAAGTACTATAATTAGATAGATAAAAAATGTGACTGTATTCTAGAAAAATAATAGTGGGGTATTAATGTTGTAATTAATGTTATTATAATTTTATTATTTAATTCTCTTATCTCCAGTTGTCTCTATTGCCTGCAAAAGTACCAGTTATAGCATAAGGACCTTCAAAGAGATTGAATTAGATTATTTATTTTCTTTTTTGAAAGCTCTTTCCTTTCCTCCTTTGGAAGGTTTGTAGTACTTTGATTCCATCTGAGCCAGAACATTGTCCATTTCCTGTTGCTCATCCTTTGCCTGCTTTCAACACTGGTTTCAGGTTATCCACCTCTTTCTTCATCAAGCCACCCAGCTCCTTCCAGGTCATTTCTAGATCTTTAGCCTCTTCCTGGGCCATCCTTTTCCTTGCATTAATCTTCTGCATTGATTCTTTGACAAAAGCATTATAGGATAGGACCTCTCTGGTGTGATTGATTTGCTGCATGAGCTTCCATATCCTGGGTTCTTCAGCATACTGCACATACAGCATAGACTGTGTGAGCTGATCTGTGTCACTCTTGAAGTTAGACAGGCTTGTTTAATATTGCCAGCTCTTCTCAGAACCTCTGTATATCTTTCCAAACGCTTGAATGTCTTCTCCAGTATGTCTCCCCAGTCCCTGGCTTCGTTGAACATGGCAGAGTCCTTGTTCACTGTTGCCTGATCATTGTACACTGTTCTGTAGTCTTAGAATGGAATAGACTTTCCTGAGGAACTGGAAGTGGTGATGTCTTCTTTGCCCACCCAATCAGGGTGCACCTGTTGAGACACGTTGTGGTAGTTGTATTGGACAAAGTGCAAGGCCTCCTAACAATGGTGAAGGTTGGTGAGGTTTCCTTGTACAGCTATAGCCGACCCATGCTGGGCAAGGGCTCAGAATGGGCTACAGCTCAAATTGAAGCCTTTTTGAGGGAAGGAATTTGCTCATCTGTTTATATCTGTGCCACAGAATCTTGAGCATACTACTATTCCTTTCAGAGTTAAGTTAGAAGTTGGGAAGGGAAGGTAAAGCTAAAATTTTATTCTTTTAAAAATAGTCTATGCAGTATTTTACAAAAATATGTTTCTTTTTGTTGAGCTGGAGACGGGAACAAAATTATGAAGGTAGACTTAGACAACTCAAAGTTAGAACCTCCTTAAAGGTTAAATTTTGCCATGGCTTTTCCTTTGTAGAAATAAAAGTTCTTATAACTTTGATTGGCTCTTGGTTAATTTACGAGTGGAAGTGATACTACATGTTTAGTCTATAGACTCATTTTTGACCATTTTATGTAGAACCATAATACAATCCAGTATAGCTGAGTTAAGTGTTTCCTTTTAATTAGGGGACCTAAGAGCAAAGAACAACCAAAAAAGCATTCCATATTCATATGTAAGGGTCTCCTTCACCCCTGATTTTCTCTAATTGTCATCTGGATTGTCTTTCTGTTGTAGTGAATACATGTACCAATTATTTAGTAACTTCCATAGAAGACCAATTAAAAATTGTCACCTCAGTTCCTACCATGAAATTTTTGAATAGTCTTTTGTGGATTAAAAAAAGCCCATTAAGCCTACTTTAAAAAAGAATGCAGTTAGCAATAATTAGTTAGCTTATAGTTAGCTTCTTGGAGAGGAAGGCAATCTGTTACTTATTTTTTGACTATTTCAAATAATGCCCCTATTAGTAGGTTCTTAGTATATATTTGATGTCATGAATAAATAAAAATAATTTCTTTTTAGGGTCCTGATGAAGAAGCTGTTGTGGATCTTGGCAAAACCAGCTCAACTGTGAACACAAAGTTTGAAAAAGAAGAACTAGAAAGTAAGTTTAACTTATGCTTAACGGGATAAATTACTGATGAAAGTTTGTTAGTGTGCTTTAAATTTTACCTGCTGTTTGTGGAAACATTTTGTTGTTATGAGGTAGAGCATACATTTGAAAGAACGTTTAACACTTTTCTAAATATAGTTTAAGGAATAATATAGCAAACACCCATGTAACCATACTCATATCTGCAGTTACAGTATTCCTTGATTTCTCTTTGGAAAGTATTGATGTAACAAAGATTTTAGAATCTGTGTTTTTTTTTTTTTGGAGAGAGAGAGCATGAGCAGGGAGGGGGACATGGGGCAGAGGGAGAGGGAGAATCTCAAGGAGGCTTCATGCTCAGTGTGGAGCTTGACGTAGGGCTCAATCTCATGACGCTGACATCATGACCTGAGCTGAAATCAAGGGTTGGATGCTTAACTGACTGAGCCAACCAGGTGCTCCTAGAATCTATGCTTTTCAGATTTCGTTGGTGGTTGCCATTACTTACCTTGGAAATTAAAATACCAAAGTTAAAAAGTCAGTTGCTTCTTTTATTTTTTTCATTTCTAGCAGGCTAGGTAATATGTTTTTAGCATTTCAGAACGCCAGACTAATAAGCCACAGTTATTACTAGTCATATAAATGTTCATTTTATAGGTAAGTTACATCAGCCTTTTCAAGTGCTATGATACCTCAGCATAGAATTGTGGAGCAGGTGAATTATGTATCAGTCTACGAGGAAGAAGTCCTGGCAAATGGTTTCTTCTCTCTTTTTTTTTTTCTTCTGATTGAAATAATTTTTGAATTACAGAAGAGTTGTAAAGATAGTACACAGAGTGTTCCTGTTATCCTTCACGCAGCTTTTTAAAATTTTAACATTTTACATAACCATCATAAGTTAACGAAAATGAAGAAATTAACATCAGTACAGTTGTATTAACTAGATTAAATTTTGTTCAGATTTCACTGGTTTTCTACTGATGTCTGTGTTATGTTCCAGGATCCAGTTGAACAGTTCGAGATCCAATAGTACATTTAGTTGTCTAATCTCCTTAGTCTCCTCTGTGACAGTTTCTTAGTCTTTCCTTGTTTTTCATGACCTTGACATGTTTGAAGGGTAGTGGTTAGTTACTTTGTAGAATGTCTCTAAGTTTGGGTTTGCTTATGTTATCATATGAACAGACTGAGATTATGGATATTTGGGAAGCATACCATGGAGGTTGTGTGCTCTTTTCAGTGTATCCTCTCTGAGGACATGTGATATCAGCGTGACTTATTATTAGTGATTTAACCTTGAACACTTGGTTAGGGTGATGTTCATGGCAAATGTTTTGATAGACTTTTGGGGTCTTCTTGGGAACTACATTTTTAAGTTAAAGCTTTCTGTAAAAGCTGGTACCATATAGGAGCAGTAATCTGTTGCTTTTAAAAAGGAGATGGAAAGAGGCAAATAAGTGTTCTCCATATTTACTTTGTGAGATGGAAGAAAGCCCTGTCTTTTAAAATTGTCTTTAAAAATCTAGGCTTCCTAGGGCTTCTGAAAGGAACCTCAGTTATCTAGAAGCTTATGGTTAGATTCTGTGAATTCCAGGTGCTAGGGAAGTTAAAATGTTTAGCAATAATTTCATCAACTCAGATCACTTAGCATATAATGTTACCTCTCAAATGTGTGCAACCTAGAACGTGAAGAGCAGCATTGGGTATGTTTTTTTTGCTTCCCTTTGTTACCCCAGAGCCTTTAGCTTTGTGTACATGGTACATATCTAAATTTCAGTATTGAGTTTGAGGGAAAGATTACGTTTATCTCAGAGTTTGACTGAATAGCTCTTTGACAGCGTAAAGGTTAAAGAAAAAGGAAAAAAAATCATAACAAAGAACACTAAGGTTGATAACAAAAGCTAAATAAACAATAAGGCTTGGATTTTCATATTCCTGTTTATTCTTTCTAAATTGGAAACTCCTATAATTTATTTTTACTTTGGTGCATTGCGGCTATGTGCCAGAACCCATTAGTTCTAATTGGAGTACAACTTTGTAATTCCCAGTGCACAGTGATGAGAATTTGCCTCTTTAATTTCCACTTTTCTGTAGTATTTAGAAGAAGATAGTTTCACTAAAATTAAATAGTAATATCACTGAGTTTTGTTTTAATTTTTTTAGTTTTCTTATTGAAATATAATTTATTTAACATAAACTTCATCATTTTAAAGTCTATAGTTAATTTTTTTAAGGTATATTTACTATGTTGTGCAACTATCACCACTCTAATTCTAGAACATTTCCATCATCCTCCCCCTGCCATGCTATATAATTGATTTTTAATTTTGGGATTTTCTGGTAAAATTAAAAAAAAATTGGTATTTAATTTCTATAGTTTTTTTTTTAATCTAGTGCCTACTGTATACTAGGCAGAGTGCTAGGTATTGGAAGATGTTAAAGCAAGTAATTTTAGTTCATTGTATATCTATAGGTCTAGTTCTCTTTTAGTTTAAATGTAATTATTCAGTTTATTGATATTACTATGTTGGTAACTGAAGTGAGAAATCAAGAGTGTCACCTTTTTCAAACTTAGCTGGGTATGTGTGTTTCGGGCAATTCAGATTTTTTTGCTGCCCTGGATATTTGTAAATGACTGCAGAATTGCCATGAGTATTGATTTTGGGGTTACAACTGAATTTTGGCAAGTTGGCAAATTTGAAAATAAAGAATTCACAAAAAATGAGGATTGAGTCTACTTTCAAATTTCATCTAAAGATGAAGACCTTGAGTTTCTTGAGGTATTTATTTTCTGACCATCTTATGGAATTTGTTAGGAAAAGAATGCCATTAACTACTCATATTTCAGCATGTTACTTTTTAAAGTACCTAAGGGCAAAAAGCAGCTCCGTGCCAGAGGCTTTTGCATAGTTGCAAAATTAGTAGTTAAACTTGTAGCCCACCACGCCTTTCACTCCACGTAGCTTAGATAGGAACATTACTTAAACTATTTAAGAAATCAAGTTCATGCCTCAGTATTTGACATAGTGCTGCAGGCTTTCTAGTTCCTTCATTAAGTTTTATTTAGTGGACAAAAGCAGAGACTGCCTTTCATAACCATTTCGTTGGTCACAATACAAATTGAGAATCATGCAACATCAGCAGTAGCTTTTTAATATTCCAGAAGCATATGATAACCTTATTGTATTGCTTTCCCCAACCAGTCTGACAGTTTATGCCCTTTAATTGGAGTATTTGGGTCATTTACATTTAATGTAGCTTTCAGTAATTTGGACCTTGCTGATTTGGGATTTCCAAAACTGTAATTAATAAATATTTACAAATATCTGCTTATGAATATATTTAATTATCATTAAAACATATCTCTTAAGGATCTCTGTTAGCTAGGGTTGACATCAAAATGTAGATGGAATAAATTTATGACTACGTAGTATGATTTCAGAAAGGCCAAGCTCTTCTTTCCCAAAATGCCTTTTTAGCCTTGCCAAAGTAATGCTTACATAAGTAACCTGTTTTATCAGTCAGTGGTATTAACCCGTGACATAGCATTCTATTTAGTGTTCTATAAAAGAAAAGAACAGGAAATAGCATTGTTAATTACATGAGCCTAAATATAATTCTTTCTTATCAAAGTAAAATTTGGTATACTTTTGTATATTCTTTCCTTTTTGGAAAATCAGTAATGTTTCTGAACCTTTGGCTAGGTCATCGAGCTGTCTATATTGGTGTTCACGTCCCATTTAGTAAAGAGAGTCGTCGGCGTCATAGGCATCGTGGACACAAACATCACCACCGAAGAAGAAAAGATAAAGAATCAGATAAAGAAGATGGACGGGAGTCTCCTTCTTATGGTAAGAGAAAACAGTAGTTCTTTGTTAGGACCTTAGAATTCTTTCCTGAAAAGGCTTGTTAAAAAAGTAGAATATTTTCTTTCTTAAATTTTATGTCTGCTATAATTTAGACACATTATGAACCTTGAAAAGTATACTAATTGAAGTAATATTTTTTCTCCAAGGAATATACTAATTGAAGTAATAATATTTTTTCTCTATTATATATTTCATTATATGTGGAATGAACAATTACGTGGAATCTTCAGGCTCCTGGATGAGATTAATTTTTTTTCCATTTTTATACACATTTTTTGGCTAGAAAATTTTATCCACTAAGTTGAACTCCTTGGTTATCTGGGCAAAAAAAGTGCTCTGATTTGATAGTACTGTCTGTGAAAGGACAGATTTTTGTTTGAAAGCAGAGAAATACAGAAGTGCCCATAGAAAGAGGAAATCAGAAAGAAAAAAGGCATATTGTAGGGGAAAAAGAATGTTATCTGATAATAAATATTGCTAGCACTGATTTAAGTGGCCCTGAGACATGCGAATGGTGAGAGCCAAAAAAAATAGCTGTACAGCCTGAGGAAGACTCTTAGGACATTGCAGTTAGTGGACATATAAGGCATCATTATTTTTTTTTTAGGACATCATGGGCCTATATGGCTATCTCTACACCATGTGTTCTAATGTGTGCATTCTAGCAAAATTACATGAGCTGTACTTACAGGCACTTGTGTGCTATGCTAAAGGAATGTTTTTGTGACGAAGAGGAAAGAATCCTATGGGTCATATAGCTACAACATAAACATAAGAAAATAGTAATATATTAAGTGCCAATTCTATGCTAAGCATTCCACCAAGCCCTTAACATATGCTCTTTGATTTAATTCTCTCTGCACTTTTTATTTTATTTTTTAAAATTTTAATTTTAATTCCAGTTACTTAACATACAGTGTTATATTAGTTTTAGGTGTATGATATAGTGATTCAGCAGTTCCATACAATGCCTGGTGCTCATCACACTGAATGCACTCCTTAATCCCCATCACCTATTACCCATCCACTACCCACTTCCCTTTTGGTAACCATCAGTTTGTTCTCTGTAGTTAAGAATCAGTTTCTTGGTTTGTCTTTCACTCTTTTTTTCTCTTTCCTCATTTGTTTTGTTTCTTAAATTCCACAAATGAGTGAAATCATATGGTATTTATTTTTCTCTGACTGACTTATTTTGCTTAGCATTATACTCTAGCTCCATCCATGTCATTGCCAATGGCAAGATCTCATTCTTTTTTATGGCTGAACAATATCCCATTGTATGTATACCTCATCTTCTTTATCCTTCTCTGCATTATTTAAAAGATGGGTATTGTTTTAATTTTGTAGATGGAGACACTTCAGCTTAGACTAAATGTGATGGGAATCTCTTAAAAGCCTGTACTAAGAGATAGTACATGGCCTAGTACACGATGGCCTAGTACAATATTAAGTGGTCACATAATTAACAAAGGTCCTGTAGGTAGCAAAGGAAAAACCAGTACTAATTTCAGAAAGGATCACTTGATGATATTAGGTAATTTAGAACTATTTTGCTCCTCTGTATGATGCATCCATCCAATTTAGGATATTGTCTGCTATTCTGAGTAGATCATTATGTTTCCCAATTAATTAATGTAAATAAAAGGGCACATAATGTTTTTATAGAATGCTATCTACTAAACTAAGTATGGTCACTAGGATAGGTGGTTTGATGTTTCAAGCTACGGTATGACATGTGAAGTCTAAATGTAGTGGTTTGAAGAATTTAGTGGAGGAAATATTTGTGACTTTTTAATGGAATAACTATTCTTAGAAAAGTTTTATGCCACTGAAGTAGGTTTATTTTGATTTTAACTGCCAGTATGTATCCAAGAAATTGCTATGAATGATGTCTCTTTTTTCTGGTCCCCACTCTCTAAATGTAGATTACATAGGACTTTTGCTTCTGGTATGATGGAATAACATGAATTTTCCCTCTTATTTTAAACAATTAAAAAAGTTGATTAAATATATAAAACAGTAATTTTCAGGCATTGGACAACACATTGTACCATTCTGACCTCTGAAAGAGGGTAGGCAAGTGAGATGAGCCTTATGCTTGCTTGAGCATATTACCTAGAGACAGTTTCCAGGCCACAGCACAGGGAGGGGAATCTGGAACAGAATCTTGCAGGCTCTTAGAGTTGAGACAGAGGTTGGAATTTGGGAAGGCCAAAGAGGCTAGTCAGGTATGGAGTGCCAGAAGAGTAGAGAGCTATACACAAAGAGGCTTCCAAAGGTCTGAAGAGGGATCCTTTTGAATCTTTGGTTGAGTACTGGTCTGGGCTAAAGGAAACTTCTTAAGGCCTGGGAAATGACCATCAGAAAACAGTAGGCTAAACAGTTCTTGGATATCGTATAAGACCGGGAATAGGGTTTATTCTCATCAGACAGAGAGGAAAGACCTTGACATACAGGGCATTGTGTAGAGTTCTCAGAAGGTTATTGCCTTAATAGTGGGTCTTAATTTTACACTAAAAGCTGCAGTGGATCTGTTCTAAAAATTTTTAAATCACGTCTTAAAAGAATTAGATTAAAGGTCGTTTCCAGGGTAAAGTATAATACTACTAAAAGATATGTAGTAAAATCCAGCACCTAAGCATATAAAAGTCACAATATCTGGTATCTGCAAATTACTTGAAATATGAAAAGTAGGAAGATATGAGCCATAACTAGGAGAAAAATAAACCAGTAGAAATGCAGAAATGGCAGAGTTGATAGAATTCGAAAGCAAGCATGTTAAAGCAATTATATCTGCTTTGTATGTTCAAGAAGATAGAAGAGAATGTGACTGATGAGCAGAGAAGTTGAAAATATAAGAGAATCCAAATGGAACTTCCAGAGATGAAAAATACAGTCTCTGAAATGAAAAAATACACTAGGTAAGATTAATGGAGGATTTGACTCTACAGGAAAAAAAAAAAATCAGTGATTTTGAAGACATGGTAATAGACACTACCCAAAGTGAAATAGAAAAGACTGAAATGAATAAATAGAGCATCAGTAATTTGTAGAACAATATCAGTTAGTCTAACAAATGTATAATTGTAGTGGCAGAAAGGAGGGTGGCAGAAAAAAATATTTGAAGAAATCAGAGTTTAATTTCTAAATTTAATGAAAACTCTGAACAAATAGGTTCAGGGAGCTCAGCAAAACCCAAGAAGAAACATGAAGATAATCACACAAAAGCACATACAAATTAAATTGCTGAAACCAGGATGTCACAATCCTATATGAAGATGCATGTAATAACAGCTTCAAAATACATAAAGCAGAAGTGATAAAACTGAGAAGAGAGATAAATTTACAGTTGTTGGATAAATTTAGAAAAGTTATAGATTTCAACTCTCTTTTCTCAGTTATGGGTAAAACAAGTTAAGAAAAAAATCAATAAGGATATAGAAGACCTGAATAACATTATCAATTAGATTGATATTCACTGAGTCCTCCACCCACCAATAGTGGAATACACATTTTTTTTAACGTGTAAATGGAATGTTTCCCACAATAGATTATATTCTAGTCAATAAGCAAGTCTTAATACACTTAAAAGATTGAAAGTATATTCTCTGACTACAATGGAATTAAACTACAAAGATATCAAGAAAAATCCCCAGATAGTTGGAAATTAAACAAGATGCTTCTCAATAACCTCTTGGTTAAAGAAGCAATCACAACAGAAATTAGGAAATATTTTGAGCTCATAAAAATAAAAACACAGTACTGGCAGTGATTGAGATAAAATCTTGCAAAGTGAGGACATGCCTTCTGGTGTGCAGGTTCCTTTAGCATGGTACTGTGCAAAGTTAGGACTGCCTATAAATTGAAATTTGTTAGATGCAGCTAAAGCAGTGCATAGAGGAATTTGTAGCATTTAATCCTTATATTAAAAAAGAATGAAGATCTGGAATCAGTGACTTAAGTTTCTAACTTAAGAATCTAGGAGAAAACATAGAACAAATTAAACCAAAGTATGGAAAAGAAAAGAAAAATAAAACCTGAAGCAGAAATGAACAAAATAAAAACCAGAAAAACAATGGCAAAAATCAATTAGACTGAAATCTGATTCTTTGAAAAGATCAGTGAAATTGATAAACTTACATAGCCAGTGTGATTAGGGAGCACAAAGAGATATAAATTACCAGCATCCGAAAATTTCAGTACAGATCCTTACAGGTATTTAAAAGCTTGATGAAGAGTATTATGAATGGTTTTATGCCAGCAAAATTGATAATTTAGATGAAATGGGGAAATTCCTTAAGAATACCAAAAAAATTTGAGATTACCCTGAATTACCCTATGTGTATAAAGAAATTAAATTTGTAGTCTAAAACATTCCCACAATGACAGTTTACTACCAAATGGCATCATGGATGAATTCAGTCAAACATGTAAGGAAGAAATTATATAGACTGCTAGGAAATTGAAGATGAAGGAACACTTCCCATTTCATTGTTATGAATCCAACATTACCTTGATACCAAAACTAAATGCAGTTGTTACAAGAAAATAAAACTATACATCTCTCATGGATGTAGATTCAGAAATTCTTAACAAACTAAAAACATATTTTATCCTGCAACATCCAAAAAGGATACTATATCATGACTGTGGTAGGCAGAATAATGGTTCCCAAGTTGTCTGTCTTCCCAGTGCCCAGAACCTGTGAATGTTAACTTTATAGCAACTTGAATTTATAGATGTGATTAAGTTAATGATTTTTTTTTTTTAAAGATTTTTATTTATTTATTTGAGAGAGAGAATGAGAGACAGAGAGCATGAGAGGGAGAAGCAGACTCCCTGCCGAGCAGAGAGCCCGATGCGGGACTCGATCCCGGGACTCCAGGATCATGACCTGAGCCGAAGGCAGTCGCTCAACCAACTGAGCCACCCAGGCGCCCTAAGTTAATGATTTTGAGATGGGGAGGTTATAGTGTATTATGCAAGTGGGCCAGTTGTAATCACAGGGATCCTTAGTAAGAGGGAGTCAGAAGATCAGAGTGGAAGTAGTTGTGACAACAGAAGCAAATAGTTGTAGTAAGTGGGAGGGGTTCAGACCCAAACAACTTAGGCAACTTCCAGAAGCTAGAAAAGGTAGGGAAATGGATTTTCCCCTAGAGAAGGAACCAGCCAATGATTTTAGCACTGTAAGACTCATTTTGGACTTCTGATCTCCAGAACTGTATAAGAGAATAAATTTGTGTTTAGGCCACCAAGTTTGTGGTAATTTGTTACAGCAGCAAAAGGATATTAATATAATAACCATGTGGAAAAGCAGGTTTGGTATAAAATTTAACTGTCAGTATAAATAACCACATTAACACTATAAAGGAGAAAACCCATATAATTATCTCAGTGGGTGCAGAAAAAGCCTTGACAAAATTCCACTGCCATTCATGATAAAATTTTCAGCAAAGAAGGAATAAAAGAAAACTTTCTCTACCTGATATATAGCATCTACAAAAACACTTTGTCAACATCACACTTAGTGCTGAAAGATAGAATGCTTTCTCCTTACAATTTGGAGAAAGGCAAGGTTGTCCTCTGCCACTTCTAAAGAACATGGTACTGGAGCACCTGGCTTGTGTGATAAGGCAAGAAAAATTAAAGGCATACAGATTGCGAAGGAAGAAGTAAAACTGTCTTTATTTACAGATACAAGATCATGTATCTAGTAAATCTTAAGCAATCTGTGAAATTACAGAACTAAGTGAGTTTAGAAAGGTTGCAAGATACACAATTAATTATATTTCTGTATATTTCTCTGGTAGCAATGAACAATCAGAAATTGAAATCAAAGATAGCACTCACAGTAGCACCAAAAATATTGCTTGGAGATAAATCTGACAAAAGAATTGTAAGACCTAAATGTTGAAAGGTTCAAAACATCATGAAGTTCAGTCACAGTATGTTTTAGTTTGTCCTGCATAGGTGTCAGGGTAGTCCTTTAATATGAAGACCTATGTGATATACATACTGGAAAATTTTCAAATTTGCTTTTTGTTGCTTTTGCCCCTATTCTGTATTTTCTTCTTTCTGGAGTTTTTCCTGTTTGATATTCTGACTTTGTTCTCTACATTTCTGAACCTTTTTTCTTATTTTCTTATTTGTCATTGATGTAGTCTGATTTCTTCAGATCTGTCTTTTCCTTTATTTTTTTATTATTTTTAAATTTCTTTTTAAAAGATTTTTATTTTCAAGAGAGAGAGCGTGCTAGCACAAGCAGGGGTGAGGGGCAGAGGCAGAGGGAGAAGCCGGCTCCCTGCTGAGCAAGGAACCCGATGTGGGACTCCATCCCAAGACCCTGGGATCATGATCTGAGCCTAAGGCAGTCGCTTAACCGACTAAGCCACCCAGGCATCCCTGTCTTTTCCTTTATTAGTTGTTCTAATCTACTCTTTAACCTGTTTATTGCATCCACAAGAGCCTTTAAGTTTGTTTACTTCAGTGTAGATTTTGAGTTTGACTTCATATCTCATATTCAGCAGGATTTGATTTTGTTTTCAATTGATGCTTGTGGTTGTTTGCTTGTCCTAGGGCTATCAACTGTCCTGGACTAGAATTTATACTAATACTTCAAGGGACCCTATACTGTATAGATAGGTAGTTTAAATTCAGGTGCCATGAGTGTGGGGATTCTGTTTCATAACAGTGATGTGTCCTGCCTCTCTAACCTTAGCTGACAGAGTTTTGCTTCTCTGTGATAGTATAAAAAGGCAGTTTCTGTATACCCCTTGCATTGCTTTTTCTCATCATTTTTTGGAAGTTGGGAGAATTTCCTTTCTCAGTTTTGAACTTAGCTACATATTAATTACATATTTTTAAAATTTCTGTTTTGTCCAACATTTTCTTACATTTTTAGTGAGAAAAAAGTCCTATCTTTGAGTATAGTGTTCCATGTTTTCAGATATTGCATATTTTTATTTGTTTTTACATCAGTTAGTTATAAGATTAGTTTCATTTATTTTTTAAATTTATTTATTTTTTAAAGATTTTATTTTTAAGTAATCTCTGCACCCAGTATGGGGCTCAAACTTACAGCCCCGAGATCAAGAGTCACATGCTCTACTGACTGAGCCAGCCAGGCACCCCTCACTTGTTTAACATATAATTGTTCTTTTTTGTCTGTGGAGGTGATCTCTCTGTGATACTCTTTGTTTCTGGATTGTTGGTCCTTGTTTTCTTCCAGATTTATAGTATTTTAATAAAAGAGTTTTGATGGAATGTATTTATAACAAAAGCATCTCACTTTCAAACTGAATTTATCTTTGAATGAATTGTGGCAGTTTTTGAGTGTATTTAAATTCTTTTGTCAAGATACACCATCCCAAAGAGTTCAGTTCATTCTTGGTACTGAAGATGATGATGAAGAGCACATTCCGCATGATCTCTTTACGGAAATGGATGAACTGTGTTATAGAGATGGAGAAGAGTATGAGTGGAAAGAAACTGCCAGGTAATAATACTGAGTCTCAGTATTTAGTTGGCTTTTCTTGATTTTTTTCTTGTATTGTAAATATAATGAATTTATGAGTTACCGGGTACTTTAAAATAATGAGGAGAGAATTTCCTCTTGTCTGGAAGCTTCAGCTTTAGTTTCTCTCTTTATTCTCAAAATTCATTTTCTTAAGTAAGTAATCCTTACCACTTTAACATAGCATAGAAGGAATTATGTTAATTAAATGTTTTAATGTCTTTAGAGAAATAAATTTCAAAAATCAAGGTCCTGCTACATATTTTCAGTTTAAAAGAGGATTAGCAGTGGAAACCACGAAGTTCCATAGTGTGTCTTTGTAGACTTATTATTATGATAGCTAGAATAGAATGAGGAACTGCAGAGGTGGTAACTTGTGAGTAGAGTGGGCCATTAGTTTGATTTGTAAAAATGATTGTAGCCAAATTTTGTGTTGGTAGTGGTGATCTTTGTTTCTCTTTAAAAGAACAAGGGTATGTTTATCATATTAAAATAAGCAAATGAAATCTTCATTATTTACAAAATATTTTTATGTGTTATACATTTCAGGTGGCTGAAATTTGAAGAGGATGTTGAAGATGGCGGTGACCGATGGAGTAAACCTTATGTGGCAACTCTCTCTTTGCACAGTCTTTTTGAACTAAGAAGTTGCATCCTAAATGGAACAGTGATGCTGGACATGAGAGCAAGCACCCTAGATGAAATAGCAGGTTCTAGCAGTTTGACTTTTTTAATATTTGTACTGAAATTAGAGATATTTAAATAAGGAAAATGAGGTGGTTTTTTAGACCATTGACTTAACTGCTCTGTGTTGAACTTCCATCGTCTGTAGGACAGTATGAGGAGTACTTTTTGTCTTTAATAAATTTAAAGTCTAGAAGATTAAGCTAGACAGGCACAACTACAGTACCAAAACGAAAGTGACTAATGCCATAAGCAAGATATGCAGTCTGTTTCTGGAAATGTAGAGAAAAGAGCTTTTTGTTTCTTCAGTTTCTGGACCAAGGTATCTGGGGAAGGTCCACAAGGACATTAAATGTACTGCTTATTTACTACTTATTTATAGACTTTGAACACATGAGAAGAAGGAGCAGGTGGTACAGGGAAAAAGAAAGTATTCTAAGGAGGAGGAAGAGAAGGAAGAAGGGTCTAGAAAGTGTAAACAGTTGTGGATCTCACATGAAAGTCAGTTCCCTGTGAGTATACAGATTTCTTGAAGAGTATTAGGAGACATTTACTCTGGCTTTGCAATTATCACATAACACAATGTAATATTTTAATTATTTACAAATGTAATGTCTTCTAATCCAAGGTCCCTTTGTATGGTAGTCTGTAGTTGTTGTGTTAAGGTTACAGTTTACCTGTTAGGTTGATTCCAGTTTTCTCTCAGAGGAAACTCATAGGTTTGAAAGCTTGACTCTTCTATCTCAAATTAGTGGCACTGTTTTAAAATATTTATATATATTTTATAGGTTAAAAATAGTCCAATCACTACAATAATGTATCATATGGCATTACATCAGTCTCTCCATTCCCCATACCCCCTTCACAGTGTGATATCTTCATCTTCCTAGAATTTATTACTTTATGATATTTTATCCTTTCATTTGCTCATTGGTTTTTCTACCTCTGGAAGAGTGAGAGCGGGAATTCTATATTCCCAACATATAATAGGTACTCAGTAAATAGTTAATTATTGAATGAAGGAGTCCAGTACTCATCTATAGTTTTGACAAAAAATATGAAGTGAGGCAATAAAATACCTTCAATTCTTAGGAAGCCAATATTATTGAATATTGAGTTTAATAGAATTTATTGTGTCCATATCAGGAAAGCACTTTGAACTATTGGAAGGCTATTAGTGTAGAACTGTGGCCTCTTTATAAATAACACTACTTATAAAAACTAGGGGTCGCCATGTAACTTATTTATTTTTCTTAGATAATGTTCATATTTATCTTTTTTTCCTCTTTCTCTCCCCCCCCATTTAAATTCAAGTTAGTTAACATAGAGAGTATTATTACTTTCAGAGATAGAATTAGTGATTCATCAGTTGCATATAATACCCAGTGCTCGTTATATCAAGTGCCCTCCTTAATGTCCATCACCCAGTTACCCCATCCTCACCCACCTCCCCTCCAGCACATATTTATCTTTATGCATACATTATTCAGTATCAGAGGAGAATAATATTTTCTGTAGAACGCTCTAAAGATCTTATTTTTCAGTAAGGTTTCATGTACAATTTATAGTTTATGTTATATTCATCCAAGTATTCGTTTATTTAATAAAAACAGTTGTTATTGTTCTTTCAATAGATATGGTATTGGACAACATGATAGCCTCTGGCCAATTGGATGAGTCTATAAGAGAGAATGTCAGAGAAGCTCTTTTGAAGAGACATCATCATCAGAATGAGAAAAGATTCACCAGTCGGATTCCCCTTGTTCGATCTTTTGCAGATATAGGCAAGAAACATTCTGACCCTCACTTGCTTGAAAGGAATGGTGAGATAAGTTGTGGCATCCAGTTTTGCTAACACTTCTACTCTAACAGCATTCCAGTGTACTACAATTAGTATTTGGGGGCAGAAAGATATTTTTTCCAGATAATTCTGTGGGTCATTTTATTATCGCTTTTATTCTTTTTAAAAAGATAATCATGTTATTTTTGTACTTAAAAATATCATTTCTAAAATATCATTCTTTATAACATGACAGTTAATCTGTAGAAATCATTCAGATGAAAAAATTAAGTATTCACTCTGTTATAATGGCACATTTACCACTATAGCCAATTCTGAATTACTTCTTGCTTTTTTGTTTTTGTCAAGAATACTTGAATAATTGATTAAGGAGGCATAAATTATGATCCGTAAGTTTAATCTTCTTAAAATTCTAAGTCTTGGATTTGAACCTTAGATTTTTCATAGTGATTTTTTTTGTTTGTTTTCCTAATATACTTTATTTGCTGGGCATAAATAAATGTTTTGGGGTTGGTTTGATTTGACTGCCCTTTTTTTGATCACTTTGTGTAAGGTTTTTATGGATGATTTGTTCTTAACCTAGGGATGACCTCCCTGATGTCTTCCAAACCATTGAGAATGGCACAGACCCACATTTTCCAGCTCTGCACTTTCACAGTCTAGCAGTTAATTATGTGGGACCTGGTGGCTTATGTGGGGATACAGTGTTCTTGTAGCCATTCACCTCTGTGACTGTTTCAAGGCTGGCACACCTGGAGGCGCTGCCTTTTCTCTTTTTAAAGCAGAAGAATGCCTCACTGGTGTTCTATTTTGGCTCTCAAAGAGAGCTCTGATGACAGTGGCTCTGCAAAACCTGGGTACAAAGGCGTGGAGTTGGCTTATGAGGGTCCTTCTTGCCCCTAGCTGCTACCATTACTCAAGGATTAGAGTGAAGAGGGGGGATGATGGGCCACAGTGTCTATCTGCTCATCTTTTTTGTCCCTGCACTAATAGTATGGCTTTTAAGTATTCTATAAACAAACAGCCATTGGTGATGGGATGGGGTTTAATATATCTAAAGTGGACAGTAATCATCTTTTGCAGCTCAGTGTGACAAGAATTCTCAAGTCCATTTTCTTCTGAATATTTGACCATTAAAACTCTTTTTAATCTCTTTAAAATGATGCCTTTATGTATTTAAGTAACCTTAAGAATAAAGAAATCTCTTATGGACCTATGTTCAATTTAAAATCAAGCCATTGATGTCAAATTTTATGTCTTTTTCACCTTCATGTACTGTATATTCTCAACTTTCCTGAAATGAGTTCATTTACTCAGAGAGACCCTGTTAAATCTTTATTCTTCATGTGGAGTGATTCCTGACTATTCTCTGATTGCTGTTTGTTTCCTTTTAGTCATAAGACAATGGCTGTTTTCTTTTAAATGCCATTTTAGCATGGGCATGTTATTTTTTTGTATTATAGTTGAAATTTAACAGTTTTTCTGCATATAGCTTTAGTTTTAACTAAATAGTAGTTGTTTATGGACTAAGGTTCATCTTTTTAATATTTCTGGAATCTCTTGAGCATGTGGCTTTGATAACTTAGATCATATGGGATTGATTGTCATAGTTCTCATGTTTTTCCTAAAATCAGTGTTATTCCACTAAGCTACACTTCTTAGAATACCAGGTGTTTGAAATATAAGTATGCACAACCTTTTGAAATATGCTAGACTTACTTCATTATTGCCATTGTTGGTGAGAAATATTTTATTATCTAGATAAGTTAGATTGTATGTATTTAATATTATCTGCTGTATTAGAAATGGATGCATATTTTAGGACACTTATTAATATCTTTAGAGAGCTGAAGAATATCCTTTCAAGTTGACACTATGTTTTTCTTTTTTAAAAAAATTCCTATAACTTGCCTTATGTTTTAAAATTTTACTCGAGAGCACTACCAGTAGCTGATGCTGTACTGACTAATAAAAAGAGTTGATACCAGTTTTAAGTTAGGAATTAATAGATGATGTAGACTTTTCTTGTGAGAGAGAATTATCTCTAGCGGCTTGGTACAGTGTAGGAAAAATACACTAAATATAAGCTATCAGTGCTTGTAAGTTTCATTTAGGGTTTTATTTCTTAGATTTTTATATTACATTCTCATTTGCTGTTTATTGTTTATCAACTTTGCATTTGATTTTTTTCAAAAGCCACATTATTGGATATTCTAATTACTAACAGAATATTGCCCCCCATCATCTATCATTTGCATTGTTTCTTATTTTCTGTTTTGTTTTCTGGATACACCTTCAGGGAACTAAGTATAATTTAAGCAGCTTTTCATTGCCTTTCTAACATTTAAACATCTGATTGCCATGCTAACTCTGATAGCATGAATTTGAAATTAATTTTGGGCTTTAAAGCTTGCAGTTTACATTGTAAATTGATGTTATGTGTGTGTGTCTATTTGCCATCTGCAGTGAACTTTATCATTTTTCATTTATTTGTTTTATCTCAGGGGAAGGCCTTTCAGCCTCCCACCACTCTTTGCGAACAGGTCTGTCTGCCTCAAACCTTTCATTGAGAGGAGAATCGTCTTTATCTCTTCTTCTCAGTCATCTTCTTCCTTCTTCAAGAGCTGGAAGCCCTGCAGGCTCAAGGTGTACAACCCCAGTGCCCACCCCTCAAAACAGCCCTCCTTCCAGCCCTAGCGTCAGTCGCGTGACCTCCAGAAGTTCCCAACAGAGTCAGCTTCAGGCCCCAGAACTACTGGTTTCACCTGCCAGTGATGATATTCCCACAGTAGTAATTCATCCGCCCGAGGAAGATTTAGAAGCACTGAAAGGCCAGGAGCAGAAGAATGAGGATAATGTTGACATGACTTCAGGCAACTATTCAAATCCTCCATGTGTGGTGCTTTCTGCCTCTGGATCACTTGCACTTGGAATGCCTTTCAGCACAGAGCTTTAGCAGCATATGTAGATAATGCTTATAATTTATTTTGACTTCTGCATGTTTCTTTTTTTTTTTCCCTTTTTTAGTATATTGTAGAAAAGAAGTATTAAACATTTTTAAGTTATAAAAAGACTACAAAGAGGACTTTAAAGCCCTTTCAAAAATTTTCACTGAGATTTTATAGGTCAAAGGCATTTGAATGGTTCAGAAAAACATAGAAATTTTTATAAGTAATATTTTAATTTTCCATGATTTTAAAAAAATAGTGGCTTTTCTTCTTGTGCATTTCATTCATAGTATGAATGAACACATATTGGACATAAATTACAATGAGGTGATGTGTCTTTCAGCTACTGTTTGGTGCTTTTGTCCAAATAATGCACTATATTTTAACCTTCCTAACACAAATAGGATTGAATGTTCTTTTCCTCCTTTTGTTTCTGAGAAGATCAAAGTTCTCTAACGGCTATCTGGAATCATCATTATTTTAAGACTAGTATATTTTGGGATAGACTTTAGATTGTCCTCTGTTTAATGCCATATCTACCTTTAATCCAAATTGACCTTGAAATTTTCAAGACCAGAGATCCTGGAGTTGTGGCTAGGATATATTTTTGTCTGTGAAGTAGAAAAATTGTTTCTTAGTGCATAAAAGGTTTAATAATTCCTCTAAGTGTTATATGTTACAGTAATTTTGTTTCTTCATAATATATTAATTATATGTACATTTAAACATGTATATCTTTCCACTCAATTCATATAAAGTAGTATTTAGTGACTATTTTACTGACAGCTAAGCGTCAGTGTGACGTATAAATGCTAGCTAGTGGTTTTAATCATGTAAGTATTATTACTTTTCTTCATAATACTGATAACATGTAACACTTCATTGGCAGCTTATGTTTATTACCCTGTTAGCCTATTTAATGTGTATAAAAATTTGTGTGAGTTAGGTGGATACACCCATTTTCAGAAACTCAGAAAAGTGAAGGTAACTTCTCCCTGGATCATACAACTAGTAAGTGATAGCCTAAGTCCTCTGATAAAATCCTCAAGGTCCTACCACTATATGACAAACTTCTTCTCTGTATTGAATTTCTCCAAACATAACAAGTTGCCAAAGAAATACATACTTTTGGAAGTAAAAAATGAAAATACAGTGGCTAAATCATTGTAACATTAATTATGACCATATCATAGCTTCCATTGTTTTATAGTTTGTTCTACACGCAGTGTTTTGGTTTTTTTTTTTTTTAAGATTTTATTTATTTTTTCATGAGAGACAGAGAGCGAGAGGGAGGGGCAGAGGGAGAAGCAGGCTCCCAAGGAGCAGGGAGCCCGATGCAGGACTCGATCCCAGGACCCTGGGATGATGACCTGAGCCAAAGGCAGATGCTTAACCATCTGAGCCACCCAGGCGCTCTACACGCAGTGTTACTACTTTTCAAATATATTTATAATTTTCCTAAGAATTTGATGAGGTTCATGTTAATCCTTATTTTACAAATGAAGAAAACTAAGATTTATTAAGATCATGCCATAAATGACCAAAGCAAGGAATTGAACTCAGATCTATCCACAGCAAAATCTACAGTATATTTCACTGTAGTTTTAGTACCTCATGGAAAATGTATAGTATAGTAATGAGGTAACTGGATAAAAAGGAAGAAATACCTAGAATTATTTACTCAGAAGTAATCAACAGTCTTAATTAAAAAGAACCAGCAAGACTTACTATTTTTCCTTGAACAGATGTGATTTTAAAGTTAATTCCTTGCATTTGTTTTTACTTATATCATAGCAGTAATACTGGACATTTCTTGTTTTACCAGCTTCCATAAGGGATTACAAATTTTATATAGGAACTAGGAGATGATGTATGGGTTCACAGTAGCTTGTTAGGCCATGTTGTTAAGGAGTTAAAAGTAGCAGTTAACTGAAAATTGAAAAACAGTATTAAGCTTTTTTTCTCCTCTGCCATAAGTATGCTATGAGATTTAAAGAAAAATTAGAATGGAGGGAAGAGAGGGACTTTCTAAAGACAAGAAAAAGCCCATAATTACTGTTTAAGAAGACATCTATAGAAGGTATGTAATTAAAATAAGAGGAACAGCTATATGTTATTCCCTGGTTTAATTATCTTTGGTGCTTAAAGCACCTAGAAACCCTGGTTGAGGTGTTTGTTTTTTTTTTTTCCTGGTTGAGTTTTCTTGAAGTCTGATGTTATGTTACAGGAGGAAAGTGGCCTTAGCATCATTTTGGAGAGACTAATGTTACAGATTTTGTGTCATGGGATCATGATTTGTGCATAGCCATAGTAAAAAAGAAAGTGGTGTTTCCTATTATGTTTTGGAGAATAATTACATGTAAAAGAGTTAAGCTTAGTTTTAGTATTTGTAACTATCTCCTGACTCCCTGTTTTTCAACCTTGGCACTGTTGACATTTTGGGCTGGACACTCAAAGTCATAAGGGGCTATCCTGTGCATTGTAGGGTGTTTGACAGCATCCCTGGCCTCTTCACTAGCTGCCAGTAGCACTCCCTAGTTGTGGCAACTAAAAATGTCCCTCCATATTGCCAGAATGTTCTCTTTGTGCACCACTGCTCCAGCTACTATTTTCAAACTTAGAGTGGTGAAGACTCTGGTATCTTTGATTTATCTTTCTCTAGATAATGCTATTGTGAGAAAAATTGTAAGGGTAAAACAATAGATTTACCAAAGTATGATTTTTAAATCCCAGTATTGATTTTATATATACAGACATTGTTTTTTCTTAAAGCAAAGAAGTACAGTCTTTCTGAGTTATCTGTGCTAGTGATAGTTTTAATTTTGGGGAATTTACTCATTTAATTCTGAGCACCAGGATTTATTGTACAAGCAGGGAGACTTCCTTTACTGATTGAGATACAGCTTTAACTTAGCTGAGATTGGGAAGGACTACATAGAGAAGATAATGATGAAAAACTCTTTAACGTACACTTTGCATGCCAGTTCCAATAGGTTTAGGATGACCAGTTAGCCAAATGACTTCAGATCCTACTCTAACTTTATCAGTATTGAGTTTCCACATCATTTCTTCTTCCCACTCCCACTATATCCTTATATTCCCCCCAGAGTCTTCATTCTACTCTTCTCTCCAAAATCTGGGGACTGAGGCTGTTCTAGGGAATTGCATATGTATTCTTTTGATTATACATCTGCGGATTGAATACATTTAGTAGTTATATCTATTGATGGTCACTTGTACTTGACACGAAGATCTTAATGATACTCTTCATTTTCTTGTGTGGAAGTCAGTGGAAGCTGCTGAAAAATACTGGTTAGCCTTTTTTTTTTTTACCCCCTACTTGGGCATGTATTTTAATAAAGGAATGGACTCCATTCTGGAAGTTTAGAGACAAAGATCAAAGAAGAGGCTCATAGTAACTGCTCTGCTAAGCTAAGGTGGTGAGAAATAAGTTCTGGCACATAGTTTTTATTTCAGAATTGTTTAACACTTCCAGAACATCTAGCTAAATAGTTTGCATATCCTTTTTTTTTTTTTTTTTTAAAGATTTTATTTTTAAGTAATCCTACACCCAGTGTGGTGGAGCTTGAACCCACAGCTCCAAGATCAGGAGTTGCACGCTCCACCGACCAAGGCAGCCAGCCACCCCAACAGTTTACATACACTTTTTATACTTAGGTTTTTGGATCATGGTAACATCCTCTGTTAGATATTTAACAAGAGAAGGGACTATCACAAAGGTCTTCGGTCATTGAGTTTAAGCAGTAAACCCAAATGACTTAGTTTCAGTTATTAGTTATATTGTGTTCTAGAAAAGTGAAAATTCCCTCTGATGCATCAGATATATCTGATGTGCTTAAAATTCAGGAACTTTACCAATATTAACTTTAAAGTTTATAGGATTTGGGCACAAACTGCTTAATTGAATTTCTTTTTTTTTTTTTTTTAAAGATTTATTTATTTATTTGACAGAAAGAGACATAGCGAGAGAGGGAACATAAGCAGGGGGAGTGGGAGAGGGAGAAGCAGGCTTCCCACGGAGCAGGGAGCCTGATGCAGGGCTCGATCCCAGGTCCCTGGGATCATGACCTGGGCCAAAGGCAGACGCTTAACGACTGAGCCATTCAGGCATCCCTTGAATTTCTGTGGGTAGCTAGATTATTGTGAGTGGCAGAGTTAAAATGTCAAGTGTGTTGTAGTTCAGCCTAGCACCTTTTCTCTTGTGCTCAGTGTTTGGGGCAATAGTAATCTGTATTCTTGAACTAGAGTATCCTGCGTGTTTTGAAAAAATGAGATATATTTAATGGTAGAAATCTGTGTTACGTACATTATAAATGTTGAGACTTGAACTTTTTGCAAACTTGGTAGTGATAACAGTTGGTCACAGGCTACAGGTTATTTTTAGGTTATTTTATTGTTGTGAAATATTGCTGCTGAATGTCACTTGAAATGAGCATACTAATGATAGAATGTGTATCATTTGTAATCTACACAAGCTAATTTTACAGGTTTGTCTGAGTCTTTTAGGTTGAATGAGTTAAAGTCATATGGATACAAAGTGGCAGAGAGTGCTTATTTCAACACAGATGTGTTTGATGATAAAACACTTTTTTATTGTAAAAACATTGCTATTATATTTTTTCTTTTTTTTCTTTTTTTTTTTTTAAAGATTTTTTATTTATTTATTTGACAGAGAGAGAGAGAGACAGGGAGAGAGGGAACACAAGCAGGGGGAGTAGGAGAGGGAAAAGCAGGCTTCCCTCCTGGGCAGGGAGCCCGATGCGGGGCTCGATCCCAGGACCCTGGGATCATGACCTGAGCCGAAGGCAGATACTTAACGACTGAGTCACCCAGGCGCCCTGCTATTATATTTTCAAGTTGTACTTCTTAGGAATAATGGTAGCACATAAATACTACCCAAGAGAAATGAAATTCTTGAGGAAATCATTATGATGGAAGATTATGATAAATTTAACCTACATTTAGTTGATGGAGCTTTGGATTTTCTGAGTTGCATTTAGGGTTTATCAGAAAATAAATGTTGTTACTGATGTAAGTATGCCAAGTATAGTTTGGCATCATTAAACTCTGCAGTTGGCATGTGTGTTATATACATTGAAAGTGCATTCCCTGAGTGTTTGTAGTGGTGTAATCAGACTCAGGTCTTCCATCTTCTGTGTTCTTCACCTACTCACTGTTTTTTCCTTCCTTCTGCAAAAGGCCACTGTTTTTGTAAATTCCAGTTATATTATTTTAAATGTTAAAATATACAGCTTCATTATTGCTTAAAATGATATTCTAGTCTTGCTGGTATGATACTAACACTTGGCACCTTTTTTTTTTTTTTAACCTTGCACATTTGCTTTTAATAAATGATCACTTTCAGGATATGAGCAGAGTCAGTGTACAAAGTGAATTTTCTCCTTACTAATTTGAAATATTTTGGTTCTTAAATACAGGTATTTTGGCCTCTCCACAGTCTGCACCTGGAAACCTGGACAATAGTAAAAGTGGAGAAATTAAAGGTAATGGAGGTGGAGGAAGCAGAGAAAATAGTACTGTTGACTTCAGCAAGGTAATTCTGTCATACCCTGTAAATTTTCATAATCATTCTTACTGAGAAGATCACTAGCAGTGTGACTTTACTAGCCCTGATTATAATAATTTTTCAGTAGATTGGTGCTTACAAGCCTGCATGTGATAACTTGGGATATGTAATTTAAGATCAAATATTATGAGAAAGGTAATAGTGTAAGAGCATTTGAATATCTATATATCTTACTAGTTTCAGGAATTTTGACAAAAGATATGTGAATAATACGGTATTTCCATCTATACCTGCCCATAGATATCATGAAACGTCAGTACCTTTTGAATTAGTCATTTGTTCTGGAGCTACTACCACCAGAAAGATTAATTCTGGGAATGATGTTACAGCACTGGTGATTCAGCCTTTTCTTGGCTGTAATAAGATCCCAGAGTTACTGTCTTACGGTGTCAGTACTTTCTGGAATGTCCCTGGGAAACATACCGGTGTTTCCCCATGGGTAGGTAAAGGCATGGATTTAGACGCACCTCACCTATCTCAACTGTGATTTTTTTATTTTGGTCCATGAGTATTTAGGTGAAATAAAAATAGAAAACTTCGAAATTTCTAAAGAACTGGGCAAGAGCTCTTAAGTTCAAATTGAAATTGAATTTAAAGTGTACTTTATGAGTACTACTTCTGAATAATTGGTTCTGTGTGGCTGTTATAACTTTTTGATAGTATTAGTTTGCTGTAAGATACTCTATTTTAACATTGTTGTATCCAATTTAAGACTTTAAATTAAGTGGGACTATTTCCAGTAAGATGCATTTTTCTTAAGCCTTTTATGGTACAAAATCTATAAATCCCATTTTGCAAAAAAGGAGTGTAAGTGATTTGCAGGATAGCTTTGCTTGAGCTTCTTGCTCTGAAAGTATAAAAGTATTTTTAATTCTTCTCTTCCAACTTTACCAATTTTTACTGGGACTTCTGTTACTTCAGATGAGTGAAGAGTGTTCAGTAACCATACTGCAGCTTATTCTTGTTAAATGGGTAACTATAATTTACACTGTGGATCTCCTCTAGACATGGCAGGTGCCGTTTATTTTTGTTCCTTTGTCACAGTTGTACTTTTTTTCACTTGGCCTCTCCTGTGTACACCTCCTTGTCTCCTGTTGGGCAGGAGTCTGCCTCCTGGCACTGTAGTTGTGGCACACTGGGTGTGGGACTCAAGAGGCCCGCTGTAAGTGCTGGTTTTATTTTCAATAGATAGCCCTGTAAGTGGTTGTTTAGTGACTTGTGTGAAACTGCATATAAACGAAGTTCCCATACTTTGATATGATGCTTAAAACCTCTTCTTTGTAATTATACACAGACTACTAAATTTGATTTTATAGCACTATCTTACATCTATACCAATGATGGCTACTTACTTTGGTTTTAAATAAAAATAAAAACAGTTTTTTGCCACCTGATGAAAATACCAGGGAATACACAGAGCTCTTGAAAATAAAAAGGACTTATAAAAATTCATTTCACTTTTCATTTCTAAGATTAAACAAAAATAATCATGAAACAAATGATTTTTAGCACTGTGTATAATTTCATGAACCATTGTTAGTTTGTGAATATATTTTTGTCCTTAATAGTTTTTAATGAATAGTGCTATAATCACTGAAAATTTTCTCTAGTTTGTATGTTTGATAATTTAGATCTCTGAAATAGTAAAGAAAAAACAGTTGGGAGCGTTTTTTGATAGATGTGTTTTGCTTGCTTTTTTTTGTATTTGTCTACTCCATTCTTTATATGTGTGAGAATTTTGGTGTTTTTACATCCATTAGATCACCGGTTTTGATTAGCAAATAGTAGTCTTAAAAGCAGTTTTTCTTTCCTATTTCACTCTAAATAGACTTACAAATACCATGCAAATTTGATTTTAATTATTGTCTGTTTGTCAATAGGTTGATATGAATTTCATGAGAAAAATTCCTTCGGGAGCCGAGGCATCCAATGTTTTGGTGGGAGAGGTAGACTTTTTGGAAAGACCTATAATTGCATTTGTGAGACTGGCTCCTGCAGTTCTCCTCTCAGGGCTGACTGAGGTCCCTGTTCCTACGAGGTAAAGACTTCGTTCCGATTAACATTCTCAGCAGGCCCAGAATTTAAATATTTTTGTGTATTGATTAAAAGGAGCATTTTTGCTTCATGTAATAAAAACGTATTTTAATTGTTAATATTGTCAGTGCACCAAATGCTTTGACTAGTAGAGTGTAAGAGTTATCTTCCTTTCTGGATTAAAAACAAAAAGAAAGCATCCTTTTAAAAAATACTTAGCATTTATACCTTTATAAGAGGTTTGGTGTTTTAGGAGCTTTGGTTTAAAAGACAGCTCATCATTTCAGATCTCTTATGTTCTGTGGAGTCAGAATGGAGTTGAATCTTTGCCGGGCCACTTTTTCTGGGGGGTCAAGCCTCACTTAAATTTTTCAAGCTTCATTTATGAAACGAAGATATGATTACTTCATTGGGTTGATTAAATGTAATAAAATGCCTCTGAATTAGGTAAAATGCTTTGTTCTGACCTGACCAAAATTTTCTGTTCAGTATACATAAATAAAAAAATAAGTGGGGTAATAGCCATAAGAATTAGCAAGTTGTGTTATAAAGGATAATCAGTTTGTTAGCTGTTGACTGTATAAACTTAATTGTAAATAAGAATTTTAAGAATACTAAAAAAGTCATTTTTATAATAGTAAAGATGAAGAATTAATTGCAACTTGATTGGAGTATATGTGCCTATTTTTAGTATGCTTTCCTGGGTTACATTAATGGTGTAGTATTAACATAAGTGAGAAAAATAATTCCATAGATTCACACTTAAATTCTCATAAAACAAGAAGATGAATACTTCCAATTTGGATGTACTGTAGTGTTAATGAGGATATAACTAAGTATGAAGTTAAATACTTTTTATTTAGTCGTTTATAAATAAATTAAAAAAACACTCAATTCTTTAATTACTTTTTTACCCTAAAGAAGATGGGGAGCAATAACTTGGTAGAAAGGTAATTATGAATGCCTTGCTTAGTTTTGTGGTCTGCTTTACTATGAGTAGAGGGTCATCTTTTTCTCAGTGATTGATGTGGGGGGTGGAAAAGAGGCCTGAACGTTGTTTCTGTGTTTACATTTGAATGATTTCTTTATGATTGCCTAGGTCTTTGTGTATATGTTGTTTATATTTAAGTCTGTGTATTTTAATGTTTCTTTAGGTTTTTGTTTCTGTTATTGGGTCCAGCAGGCAAGGCACCACAGTACCATGAAATTGGAAGATCAATAGCCACTCTCATGACAGATGAGGTAATTAAAATATCCCGTGAGGTAGATACTGATTATGAAGTATACAATATATAAAATCCCTTAGAAGTGGAATTTCAAATTCTTTTCAAGCGGACACTGATTGTGAAACATTTATTATAGTTTTGTCTTAGTGAAGCTTACAAAATTGTCCTTGCTGTCTGTACTATTTTATCTTATTACCTCTTCAACCATTTGCCTTTAGTAAGATCTTAAGACCTTTCTGTCAGGATCAGTGGATGCTTTTTGGTCTTTCCCCCCTGCTCCACCCCCCTTATTTGAAATTATTGACCACTTTCTTGAAATTTTGAAATTTTCTCCATCCTGGATTTCAGGGTATCATTTCTTTGGGTTTTCCTCAGGATTTCGTCTTTACTCCTTCTGTTTTTTTCCTCCATAATTTCTCTTCCGTTTTTGAACCTTTTCACTGAGCATATTGACCAGAACTGCTGTCTGTCTTTGGAGCAGAGATATGTAATTTAGGTGTTGGACTTATTTATCATATCTAAAGTGGATTTACTATGTGTAGAATTTTCTTTCAGCTTTAAAATCCTTTTACTCAGTTTTTTTTTTTTTTGTAGATTTTTCATGATGTAGCCTATAAAGCAAAAGACAGAAATGACCTCTTATCTGGAATTGATGAATTTTTAGATCAAGTAACTGTCCTACCTCCAGGAGAGTGGGATCCTTCTATACGCATAGAGCCACCAAAAAGTGTTCCTTCTCAGGTAAGAATCCACACAGTTCTGTGAATTACTTTTTCTTAGTTAAAATACTTTTGAATAGGTTAAACATTTTTATGATTCAAAAATCAAAACTATATATAAAAAGGTACACTCAGAGAAGGTGTACTCCTACCATATTCCATTTACCTTCTTACCCCTGTACCCACCTCCTGTGAGAGGACCATTTGTTACTAGTTTTTTGTTTATCCTTCTAATTTTTATTCAGTACAAGGAAATAATGAATATAGTCCTATCTCTTCCTCTTTCTTACCAAAGTTAACATACCACATGTACTGTTCTGCACCTTACTTTTTTCATATAACAGTATATCCTGGAGATTTGATCATAAGATATCAGAAATAGTTCTTGTTTTCTCACAGCTTTGTTATGTGTCATTTATGGATATCCTGTAGTTTGAGCTATTCCTGGGCTTAGTCTTTCGCTTTAACAAAGTGTATCACAATATTGATATGCCAATTTAGTCTTGTGCAGGTGTATTTGTAGGGTAGATTCCTAGAAATTGGATTGTTGGCTCACGTGGGAACTTATAATTTTAGTAGATATTACCAGAATCCCTTCTTACTGGGTTGCACTGTTCTGGACTCCCACAGTGATGAATGCCTCTTTGCCTACAGCTTCACTAACAGTGTGTTGTCAGACTTCCAGATATTTGTCAGTCTGATAGGTATCGTTATCCTATGTCAGGTATTATAAAGTGGTTTTAATTTACATTTATGTAATTAGTGAAGTTGAATATTCCTGGTTATCTTTAGTTCACCCTCCCCCCCCCCCCCACCCCACCAAAAACCACCTTTTCTTAACATTGAAATCATTTGTTGATCCTTTGGAGTTTATTATGGTGTATTATGTGGAGTATGCATCCAACTTTATAAATTGCTGCCTTTTTGTTCCAATTTATTAAAAAGTTAAGTGTTACTGCCTTACATTTTCTAAATTTCCATTTGCATTCAGGTCTGTTTCTGAAATTTCTTTTCCATTGGTCTATTTATGGACCAGTTCCACACTTTAATTTCTGAGGCTTTTAACATATTTTAATATCCAGTAGGTCTAGATTCCCTTCTGACCTGTCCATTACTCTTGCTTTTCTGAATTTTCTTGGCTGTCTTTGCATGTTTATTTTTCTGTGTAAGCTTTAAAATCAGCTTTTAATTTCCAGAAATAAAATCTGATTTTTCAAAAATTGTGATGGCAATGAAATTTGTAGATGAACTGAGGGAGAACTGACATCTTTATAACATTGAATCATTCAAGAACATGGTATGTTTTCCCCCACTTGTTTTCCTGTTTCAAGTCAGTTCTTGTGTCCTTAAGGAATGCAATAAAGTTCTCCTTATCTACGCTTTACACACTTCTTGGTGAGTGTATTCATAAGCATTTTGTCTTTATTGTCTCTATTGTAAATGAGGGTTTTGTTCCATTATATCATCAGTTTGTTACTTTTAAATATGAAGGCTGTTTGTTGCTGTATATTTCTTTTTTATCCTCATCCCTTTCTTAGTTCTCTCATTGTATGTAATAGTTTTTTGGTCATAATCTCTGCAGTCAGATATTTTTATCCCTCCTTTTCTCATTCTTCCAGCTCTAATACATTTTCTGTTGTCTAATTGTACTGACTAAAACTCTAGTAGTGTTAAGTGGTAGTTGACTTTAAATGGGCATTTTTCTTTTTTTTTAAATTTATTTATTTTAGAGAGAGAGAGAACACTTGTGCGTGCATGTGAGCAGAGTGGGGTCGGGCAGGAGAGGGGGAGAATCTAAAGCAGACTCTGCTCAATCTCATGACACTGAGACCATAACCTGAAGACCGTAACCTGAGCTGAAACTCAGAGCTTGACTGAGCCATCCAGGCGTGCTCCTAAATGGGCATTTCTTAATTTGTTCTGGATTGTAGTCCGTGTCCTTAAAGTTTCTTTCATTAAGTCACTGACGTTGGGGGTCAAAATACACATTTTTATCATGCTAAGAAAGTATCCTAATTTTTGTTTCATTGAAATTTTTAATATAAGTGGATGTTAAATTTTTTCAAATGGCTTGTTAGCATCTCTGGAGATGATTGTATGAATTTTATTTATCGATTATTGTGGTGAACCATACTAATGGATAATATAATATGAAAACACTCTTGTGTTGATAGAATAAGCCCAGATTCAGCTTCAGAGTGCTGGTTGTCTCTGTCGAATATTTTATTTGAGTTGTTCGTATCACTGTAAGTAGATTGGAGTGTAGTGTTTCATTATGTCTTCACGCTTTGACATCTTTGTTGTATTTGTTTCATAAAAGCAGATTTGTAAATTTTCCTCTCCTTGTGCTTTTAAAACTTTAAATGGCTTGGAATGATTCGGTTTGAAAAGTTTGGAAGAATTGCATTGTAAAATGTTCTGAGCCTGAGTCTTTGATTGTATGGTGGGCTTCAGCAATGTGCTTATTTCTTCTGTGGTGATTGGCTTGTGTAAGCTTTCTCTTTTTTCTGGGGTCAATATTAAGTTTTCCTAGAAAATTACCTATTTCCTGTTTTTCTGGTGTCATTTTTAAATTATGTGTTGTGTATTACCCATTTCATCAAAGTTTTTTCGTTTATTTGCGTAGCGTTGTATAGTATCATCTGTGTGTGTGTGTAGAAAATTTCTCTCAGTTTGAAGTTGCCTCCTTGTCATATCTTTTGCTGAGTATTAGCTAATGGTTTATCATATTTTTTCAAATAGAGCAGCTTTTACAACTTATTTCAGTTTTCCTTTTTTAAAAAAGTATTTTTTTTTTTTTTAAAGATTTTATTTATTTATTTGAGACAGAGAGAATGAGAGAGAGCACATGAGGGGGGGAGGGTCAGAGGGAGAAGCAGACTCCCTGCCGAGCAGGGAGCCCGATGCGGGACTCGATGCGGGACTCGATCCAGGGACTCCAGGATCATGACCTGAGCCGAAGGCAGTCGCTTAACCAACTGAGCCACCCAGGCGCCCCAAAAAAGTATTTCATTTTGTGACTCACTTTCTGCTTTTAGCTGTTTTATTTCACTCTATTCACTTCAGGAATTTTGTTTTCACATTTCCTGAGTTAGATATTTGATTCATTTATTTTTATCCTTTTGTTTTTCTTAATTTTAGAGCTTAATTTTCTTGAATGATGCTTTTGCTGTATCCCATGGATGTGATATATAGTATTTTCCGTTATTTTTGCTTTTTAGGAATTCTGTAATTTTGTTCTCTTTCCCCTTTGAGCTAAGATATGTTAGTTTTAATTTTGACATTTTCAAATGGTAATCTTATAATTATAGATACGTTTTGCTACTCTATAAATATTGAACATATAAACCAAGTAGTGTAAGTTTGTAGGTCACCCAGAGCTTTTGACCCAGGAGGAACACCCCTCCCCCACCTTTCTCTCTCCTTTCTCTTTCTGTCTCCTTTCCTCTTGCTCCCTTTGTCACACACAACCTTTGACCTCTAGATGTAACAAATTAAAAGTTAGCTCCTTTATCTTCAAGTGAGGGGGGCGGGGGCATCCTTTTTATCATGAGAATCTTGAATTAGTAGTAACGTTTAATGGGAAATTTATTTTTATGAAAATGTGTTTAATAGCTCTTGTACTGCTTATGTCTTCAGGGAAGTAGTTTGGTAAAAGAAAAATGGCATTTACTTTTTTATTAATGTAAAGTATACTTTTCATTAGTTAGCATGAGCAATATTTTAAATATTCTCTTGGAGAGATGTTTTATTGGATATTTATTTTCCTATTGCTGATTCATAATTTGAAATGGTGTGTGAATGTGTTTTATAGTATATTTGATAGTAGAATACAAAATACAAAAAGCCAATCATAAGCTTAAAATACTAATAGAGACAAATATTAGACACTATTCTAAAGTGCAATTTATTTAAAGTGGAATTTTATATCAGGAATCATTTTTTCTAGGAACACTGATTAGATATGTAATCAATATAAGGTCTCCTGTTCCCTCTAATTCAAGGGTACCGTCTTAGCTTTTTTAAAACAGAATTCTGAAAATGTGCTTTTTGTGAAATGCAGGAAAAGAGAAAGATTCCTGTATTTCCCAATGGATCTGCCCCCAGCTCTGGTGATACTCCTAAAGAGGTCGATCATCATGCTGGGCCTGAGCTACAGAGGACTGGACGGTGGGTATAAATACTGATTCATTGTGGGAGTCTTTTGGGGGGAGTAGGGGTTGATTTGATGAAGGCATAAAAATTATTTTTTTGGGAAATATATGGAAGTTAATCTTACACAGTGTTTTTTTCATATTTAAAAAAGTGCATTATTTTGTAAGTGTATGATGTTAAGGAAAATTAAGCATTTTAAAATAATTTTACTAGTATATACTTGGATTTTGTGTATCGAGCAGTTACATAGTATATAGGGTAATTTGCATTACCTATAGAGAAGGTTCTTGAAGAAGTTGTTGAGTGCTATTAAAATTCTTGAAGGTAGAGAATTATGGGAACAGAGAGGAATTGTAACTGATATTTTTTGTGTGTGTGTCTAGACTTAAAACTCTTAAATGAGCATTATATCCTGAGATAATGTAAAATTAGACAGTGAAGCATAATTAAACCATGGTAATGAGCTCTAGAAACCTAGTTAGAAAAACTGTTGAAGATGTTAATTTTTGTAATATAGAAGTATTGCTGGGTGCAAACATTGTCTTAAAATATTTTGTAGAAGTAGAGAAATGTTACGGTATTTCCATACTGTAGCAAAGCACGTAGATATTGACTGTTATCCACTGGTGGCTGCTGTGAACAGAAGAGATTTTGAATCTTAAATATTTGTTTAGCAAATCAGGTCATTTTATACACACACATTATTAGGGGTATTGATGACATGCCTAAAGAATACTGTATAGAAGAAAAATAACAACTGGCATACTGAAGATAAAATTTAGAGAAACTTAAACTCACATTTTATTCATTCATTGTTTATTCATTATATTATAGTCTCTGTAACTATCATAGAGAATAAGACTGCCCTGGTGCGAAAGGTGGTGGTCTAGTACTAGCTGTTAGTGTTATTTCTTCAGACTTCAGACTGAGATAGGGTTAGTGACTGAGAAATACCAAGTCAGGCTCCCATTGATTTCATGGCCTCACGAGAGCCTCCTATTGATCCGTTATTGATTTGATGAGGCCGTTTCATTTTCTAGGTTATCCTTTTTTATTGCAAGTTGATTTCCCTTGCTGTCAGATTATTTATAGAGTAACTTAACACTTGTCAATGTGTGTTTAGTATTTATTTCAGTATTAACTTTATAAAAAGGTAGAATGGTAAACCTTGAAACATCCAAAGCATTTTAAAGCATAAGATTAATTTTTTGGCGTATTTTCTACAGAGTGATTGTATGTTTTATGAGTCACAAAACCTTTTTCAATTACTGATTTGTCACTAGCATTTACTGAGAACCTACTATGTCGTAGGCAGTGTTCTGGACACTGGTGATAAAGGCAGTGAACAAGAAAAAGTCCCTGCCCCTCACAGAGCTTATATTAGATGTATCCAAGAGTCTGACTTAAAAAAAAAAAAGGGAAAAAAAACCCCCAAAAAACCAAAAAAACGAACATTGAAATGGTAAGGCTTTGATGTGCAAATACAGATTTTAAACTTCCTAATTAAAGCCTCTTAGTTTTATTAATATGCACATAAGCTTGAGTACATATTCAGCAAATTAAATGCAATGAAGTAGTTCTTAGGCTTTTCTCCTGGAGAAGAAATATTTATGTGATTGAAGTACTAATTTTAAAAATCATTAAAATTATTTAATTCACTACTGACTGAGTCTAAGCACAACATAGTATATTCATATTAAAGGGTATTTGGGGACTCATGATTTATATTATAATTGCCTTCCTGATATTTCTGACACTTGCCTTTAAGATTTATAACGTAGATAATAATTGATAGAATTGCTTATGCACATTTTCATGAATGGAGTGTTAGATCTTACTGATTTTTATTGTATATTTTCTTGTACATTTGTGTCTGAAATTACATTTACTCATATAAAATCATTTGTCTGCAGTCTTCTCAATATATATATAGTCCATAAAATATAGATGTTTATGTGTCTTTTAACTTAATGACATCTGCCTTTCCTCTATCAGTGGATTAGACTAAATGAGTGTATCTTCTATAATTTATATCATGATTTAAATAGGATATTAATTTTTGTTGACAAAACACTAGGCATCAGCAGTTTTATGTAGCCCATAGTTTTAGTTTGAACTAGCTAGAATCCTCTAGTGTACAGTTTGACGAGTTTCATCTCACCTATTTAGGCTTTTTGGTGGTTTGATACTTGACATCAAAAGGAAAACACCTTTTTTCTTGAGTGACTTCAAGGATGCATTAAGTCTACAGTGCCTGGCCTCGATTCTTTTCCTATACTGTGCCTGTATGTCTCCTGTAATCACTTTTGGAGGGCTGCTTGGAGAAGCTACAGAAGGCAGAATAGTGAGTACAAAGATTGGTAGTGGCCAGGCTCTTAGCTCTTCAGAGGCAAGTGTCTGTATGCATTTGTCTCACTATTCATATACTTTCATTTGAAGAGTCTACCCACAGCATGATTAACCTGTCCCAAAGCAGACTTCCCCCAAAGGTAATTGCTATGGAAAACATGGGGAAGCCATTTGAGCAGGAGAAGATGCACAGTTGAGGTAAAAAAGAAAAAAAAAAAGAAAAAGAAAAGAAAAAAAAGTTTATCCTGGCTTGCTGGATGAATGGTTTTATAAATTGAGTAAAAGGCTTGTATTGTCTCTGTTGTGGGGAGTGGGGAAGGGTTGGCGGTGGGAGACAAACTGAACTGATGCTGGGTGGGTCATGGGTGGGGGAATTTATCAACCGGGGCTACTTGATATCCTGTAAGGCAACAGAGGATTCATTAGAGCCATGTAATTAATATTAACTCATCACCCCTGGTGGGTAGGCCCTGACTCGACAACTAGACTTTGGAAGTTGTAGACAAATGGTGGATTTTTAGTGTTGTTTATTTTGCTGTTATTAAATTTGTGTGAAGGTAGATAATGTTTTAAGTATAACTGAAAACTGAATCCATATTTTGATATGACTAAAATGAAAGTGTTTATGAGTTTTTGTTCTTGGTAATGCTGTATAAGGGGCTGTGGGAGGCATGATAACAGTATCCAGTGCTTTGTAAAATCTTGAAAGACTTTTTGTTTATATACATTTTAATGGCATTTAAATGAGATGATCTGTAATTCTTGAGTGTATTTTATTTGATTGTATTTACTCTTGGGAGGAAATACATTTTTTACAGATAGAAGATTAAAAAAATAGCCAAAAGCTAAGTAATGATAATTATTGAATTAAAATACTTTGTGAGCTGAACGTGAGACAAACTTGACAACTGAAATTTCCTTTGAAACTCAATTTATTTTTGATTACTTAGATTCTTTTACCTTATTCTGCAATCATTGTATCAGGGAATCTATTTTTAGTAAGTTGCTTTTATGTGCTGTGCTGTCTCAAACTGTACATGTAACTCTGCTGGTCCTCCTGGAGATGTGTCTTACCTGTTACCGTCACGGAAATGCTGCTGCTTGCTTTTGGACTGTCCTGCACTGCCTGCCCTTCTTATCCCACCATTTAATACCACGTGCGTGTGGTAGTGCTTTAGGCATCGGAGGAATATAGACAGATGTAAGATGGATCCTAGCCGAAGAGAGAAAGATAAGCTAGTGTCCACGTAGGTAATACGTCACGGGGTGCTGTGCTGCACGTGAGTGCGATCAAGGAAGAGCTGTAGCAGCCGAAGTAGCAGGAATAGAGAGACATCAGGAGTATTAACAGAGGAAAGTGATGCGGAGATGATGCGTTTGTTTTCAGGTGCTTTATTGGAACCTCAAGTTCCAGAGTTTGTCGAGTGGTAAGGAGGAAAAATAAAGGTTGGGAATAGATGAGGTTAACAAGGGGGAGAATTTATAGTGACTGGAGAGGGAAAAAGTAGGAAGTTACTTTTTAGTTTGTGGACTAGAGGAAGAATGAGAATGAAGAGGAAAATAGCTCTGCAGATTAGCCAGGGGAACCGTCAGAACTTCAAAAGAGGAATCAGGATGATGTAATCTTGCAAAAACCAAAATAGAGGCTTTGAGAAAGAGGAATGAGGAGCATGGCGTGGTCAGTGCCATGCAGTGGAGAGGTGTATAGTATGGGGAAGGTAACCGGTAGGGCTTCTCATGGGTACAGTGGAAACTTCTGAATGTGGTGAGGGGAAGGCAGGGTGGTGGGGCTGTGATTTCTTTAGGGAGAGAGACCATTCAGTTTGGGGATGAACATAAAAACAGTTGAGAAATTAGAAAAAGAATAGATCTGGGTTGAAGGAACTCTAGGAAATGTGCCAATAAGGGGTTGGGAGAGGAGTGGCGGAGTGGTGAAGGGAAGGTCTTCATGTGGCAGGTTCTGCCTTTTCAGCATGATGTTGGGAAGGGAAACTAATTTTGTGCCTATTTCCACCCCCGCCCCCAACCCCCGTTAGCATTTCTTTATTTGCCATCTCCTTGCTTCTCTTCTGAATTTTTTGCTTTCTATCTCTAGATACTATTTAGACATTTTTTTCTGCTTAAATTCATTCCTAAATTATACATATTCTAATTGAGTTAAGGATTTTATAATGGCTTAGCAGTTAATATGGACACTTCGTTTTGCCAAAGATATGTGAGTTTGATCCTATTTTTATAGTAATAGTTGAGTAATGCTTTTACTGCATACTATTATTTTTGTGATTTTGATTTTGGAAGATGCTGTTATTGCTGACGATGAGATTTACTGCCGTTTGTTGAGTGCATTCGGTATGGCAGCCTGTAGCCTTGCTAGGTATTTTCACAAACATGGCTTTATTAAGTTCTCCTGGCTATGGTCAGTCCTATTTAAAAATGAGAAAGGTTGGGCTTGAAAAGTTTGAGATATGGCTGTGGCTTAACGTCTAGTAGTAATGGGTCTCCTGCTCAAATCTGGTTCTGAAGCCCGCCCTTGCCTGCTGCTGTGCTGCCTGCCAGGTCCAGGAGGGGTGTTTCTCACAAGCTTCTTTTCCTTGCTTTACCAACGATGGGCTTTTCCTCTCTTGATAGTGCCTTCCAGTTGACCTTGATGTTTGTAGATGGTAAACTGCTCTTCTCTTTCTGATCCCACCCCTCTGTCTAGCGGCATAGCCTCTACCCCTTACCATCTAATAACCTAATCAGTTAGAAGGTAATATTGGTAGTGCTACAGAAGCGACATACTAGTTTTGATTTCAACTTTCCTGAGTCTTTCATTTTCTTATTTTATGTTTTTTACCAAGCCTTAATAGTAAGGTACTTCTTCATTTAATGGTTGCTGTGAGTTTTTTAAAGAGATTTTCCATCTGTTTCAGGATAAAAGCATTTTATTTTTGATAATCTGTTGGTTAAGCCCATCATATAAGATTAATTTCTTTAAAATGTGTGGAAAATTGCTCTTTAGAAATCATTTTGAGAACGTTAGCATCACTTGTTAATTTCTGATTTATTTGAAAAAGTTTTTTTGTGCACACCATATGGAGTATTTACTATTTTTTTTTTAAGTGAACTATTTCAGACATAACAAAAATATCATCTTTGTACTCCCCACAAGCTTAAGAAATGAAATACCTATAGATAGAAAATCTCTATGTCTCTCTTCCCTTTACTCCTCCCTCCTGGCCTCCCACAATACTGTGTTTTGAATAAAGGTTGATTATAAAAGTTTACTTTTAATATGAAAACAAAGCAATTTTCCCTATGTATTTAAAATGTGTTTGTAATTTTCCATATTTAAAATTTAAATTTGACTTAAAAGTTGTGTCTGCTTTATATTTTTAACTACTTGATCAGTATTTTTATTTTCCAGATGTCTTACATGTATTTTAGTAGGTTAGAGATATGTTTATGGTGTATTACTTCTATTCATTTCTTTTTTCCTTAAACAGAGTGCAATAGAGTCTCTTTTTGGAGCATCATTAACTGGGATTGCCTATTCGTTGTTTGCTGGGCAACCTCTAACAATATTGGGGAGCACAGGTCCAGTTTTAGTGTTTGAAAAAATTTTATTTAAATTCTGCAGGTACGTAATTGTTATTTACCTATCACATGTGTTTACATATGTGTATAATTATATTGTTTATTAACTTAGTTAAAAGTGCATTATGTATTTAGTAGCTGAAAAGGAAGATCTGATCAATATATGTGTAATTTCAGTATTTTGGGGCTACCGTGTGGTTGACCCTACTCTGATCCCTACCATTATTCCTACCCCAGTCACCTTGAGTATAAAATCAGTGGATTTGAGTCCTGGTCAACAAATCACTTGGACAATAAGAATCCTTTGTTCTAGCAAATTTCAACCCACTAAGAAGGTGTTAATCTAATTGTTGGTTAGTAGGTATGTTGGTCTTATAAAGGAATTTAAAAAAGAGGTGGATCTTGGAGGTTCAAGCTGACTTTATCAGTCAGGCCTGTTTACCAGAAGGAACCATAGCTGTCTGTTGAGGTGTCAGTCCCCACTGGCAGGGTTGTTAGCAGTGGGAATCAGAGCAGGGTGCTGTAGCTGGTAGACTTGGGATTTGACATGGTCAGTACTATTCCTTTTGTGAGACAAATGTAGTTGAATATTTTAGCCTGAAACAACTTGATCCTATTAAATATTTGATGCATCTAACTCACCTTGTTCTGATTCTTTCCTCACTGAACAAGCTGATTCTGATTCCAGTCTGGCATGCTAGCTACATAGACTAAGAGAGAATGCAGTGAAGTGTTCTGGACCCTGTGGTCTTAAAGTAATTTCGTACTTGACATTGAATTTAAAAAATGAAGTCACTTTCTGTGGTGACACTGGTGGTAGGAGGGATGGTATTGGTGGTGGCAGTGAAGGGGACAGGGGTGTGGTTATCATGTTGACATAGAGCTTCTGGGTCTTCAGAGAGTCACATCCAGTTGACCTGTAGAAGGGACATCTGTCATTTATTCCTCAGAACTGATTTCAGAGTGAGGTCTTTATTTTTGAAATATTAATTGCCTGGTAGACTTTCACTGTAAATCTTTTATATAAGTAAAATATAACCATTATAATTTTATTATCTTCAGCTATAGCAGAAACATACAGAATGCTTTCTTTAGTCATTATTGTTATCCTGTAATTTGCTCTTTTTAGGAATCTTATGTTTTTATACTCTTTTTATTGCCTGTTAATGAAATTTTAACTAAAGATATACATTGCCGTGTGTGTATATTGATCATGTTCATGTTTTTTCCCTAAACAGAGATTATCAGCTTTCCTATCTGTCTTTAAGAACCAGTATTGGTCTGTGGACTTCTTTCTTGTGCATTGTTTTGGTTGCAACAGATGCGAGCAGCCTTGTGTGTTATATTACTCGATTCACAGAGGAGGCTTTTGCGGCTCTAATTTGCATCATATTCATCTACGAGGCTTTGGAGAAGCTCTTTCATTTAGGAGAAATATATGCATTTAATATGCACAACAATTTAGATGAACTGACCCACTACTCGTAAGTTTTTCTGTTTTTCCCAGTATTAAAATGTATTTTTGCAGAGATGTCTGAGCCAAAAAAAATGCATTTTTTTGCATTGTGATGCTCATTGTATATCTAGCTGTAACTACCCAACTAGCCATATGGAGGTTGACTTGTTTGTTACAGATGAGATTTTACCAGAGCACTCAATGAACATAAATACAGTTGAACAAATTCAATCATTTTTATTCCCTGAAACAGCTTATTCAAATGTTATGTATTTTTGGTCTTCTGTTTGAATCAATTTAATTTCAGTTGTTTGGTATTTGAATCAGACAGTTATATTAGATCTTGTATTCTTTAGCCAAATCCTGAATGTAGGATGTAATATTTCTTATATTTTTCTTTTTCTTTATATATGTGTGTATATAACTGGGATTGCCAGTATATACATACATACATTTAAGATTTTATTTATTTATTTGAGAGAGAGCAAGAGAGAGCACAAGCTGGAAGGAGAGGGAGAAACAGACTCTCCGCTGAACAGGGAGCCCGATGCGCCAGGGCTCGATCCCAGGACCCTGGGATCATGACCTGAGCCGAAGGCAGATGCTTAATGGACTGAGACTCTCAGCGCTCCTGTTTCTTACATTTTTCATGTTTTGCACTTTCATTAACATTTTTGAAGTCTGATAATTTTTATTTGAAGTTATTTTTAAAGTATAATTTCAGTACACTGTCATATGCTATTTGGTGCAGTATTTTCTTTGTGATAAGAAAATCATGAATTGAAAATATTTTAAGACTCTAGAATAAAATAAGATTTGAAAAGTAATTATAATAGTTACAAAAGGTTGGCAAATATATTCAATAAAGTCAAATAGGTTATTAAAATTAAATGTATCTAGGTAGATAGAGGCCTGTATTTGCTGTCTTGAGCAGTCATGCTTGGTGTAAATGTGATCCTGCATTTGATCGACTTACATGGAGAAAGTGGTTACCAACAGACAAGGGTACAATTCCCTCTTTCTGCCTACGCAAGTCCCAAATCCCTGTGTTCTCCTCCCTTCCCTCCATTCCTTCCTTGCATACTCCACTTTGATGGACAGAGTAGGGAGGGATATGAAAATTTCTATGAGACATTGACCTATTTGAGGAGACTAGAGACATTCTGATGCCAATTCTGTTTTGTGCTATCTTCTTTGCTCTTAAACTAGTTAATTGTTTAACTGTTATTCTTGTTTTTTTTCTCTTTCCCTACTCCTTTGACCTTCATGAAGCATGGCTTTATAGCTAGTGCTTGCCAATCAGAACAGTGTGGTTAACTGAGTAATTACATGTGATCATGATTCGTTCAGCTGACATCCTGTGAGCATTTGCAGGCACTGTGTTAGCGGTGTTGCATAATTCATATCACGTGTGACTTAATTATTCGTATCATAGCCCCTTTTGTGTATGAAGAAACTGAGCCTCATGGAGATTAAAACCTGCCTTGGGTCAAACAGCTAGTAAGTGATAAAGCATGGAATGAATCCAAAGTCCAGCCTCTTGCCTGTTCTCAAAACAGCTCATTATCTAATTGGAAATATTCCTGTGTGTTTCTTCTTTTTATTTTTTATTTTTTAATTATTTTTCTTCTTTTTATTTTTTAAATTCACATTTAGAGATTTTTTTGCTTGTGTGTGTTTCTAGCTTTTCTTTAGGGGAGCTAGTTCTGGATATAAACTGAACTCTCTGATCTCCTTATGACCTTCCTAGTCCTGTCCTGATGAAAAACCGTGTTTCATTTATTTCTTTAAGATGAATCTTAAGATCAGTAGAGGATGAGCATGAGTAGGTAGGGCTTGTCAGAGTACCAAGCATTAATAGGAGCATTGCTTTTTTTGGGAATCTGTGTGTTTTGTGTATGTGTGGGTGGGGCACAGAGCAGCTCCCCTTAGGTAAGATTTAGTGGAGAGTAACCTTGCTAAACATGGTGGTATCTTTTCATATTTTTAAAGAAAATAGTATCCCTCCCCAAGGGATATATCTAACAGGTTTCATTAAGATATTCTGTAAAATATCATTCTGTTGATATTGATTAGTTATGTTTTATTTACATAAGCCAAATCTTGTTCCGTTCCATTGTTTCTGATGTGTTTTCACTTTCTAGTTTCCATGCATTGCAGCATGGGAAAAAGTTTAATTAAAAGCTACCACAGGGGTGCCTGGGTGGCTCAGTCTGTTAAGCATCTGCCTTCGGCTCAGGTCCTGATCTCACAGTCCTGGATCAAACCCCATGTCTGGGTTCCCTGCTCGGCGGGGAGTCTGCTGCTCCCTCTCCTCTTGTGCCTCCCCCAACATGTGCTCTCTCTCGCTCTCCAATAAATAAATAAGATCTAACAACACTACCACACTGTGTGATTGATTTAATAAAATGTAGACATGAAATGCAGGACCCTTAAAATTTTATCCTGTTCTCGTTTCTCAGATGTGTATGTGTTGAACCTCCTAACCCTAGCAATGAAACTCTAAAAATATGGAAGGAAAAGAATTTAACAGCAGATGATATTTTCTGGGGGAATCTCACTGTTCCTGTGAGTACATGATGAAATAAAGGATTTTGCAAATATTAACCTACTTCTTTAGCTTTTTATGAGTAGACCTACGTTTTCTTCTTGATAGTAGGTATGATGTGTTTTCAGAATGTAGTGTTGTGTTGAGCAGACAGAAGTTACCACATGTTTATGTATCATGTGGTAAAAAGTGTAGGCTGAAAAGAATGAACCTGGTAAGGGAGATAAAAATGGACTAAATGTGACTTCCAAGATTTAATTATTAAAAAAGTGTGAATATACTTCTGGTTTCTAATTCCATATAGATTGGTAAGTTCAAAGGAAGTGTCTGCTAGGACTCTGGTTGCATATACTGGAGTTGACAGAACAGCCAACATCCATTTGTCCTGCTCTCCGTGTATCAGTTTATCTGCTCCATGAACATCTTATTTAGAAGATCATGAGTGCTTTCCTAATGTCCTCGATGTCAAACTGAACTTTAACTGTGGTCTAGTAGTCTACTCTGTAGTCTTGTCTGTAGAGACTAGTGTAACTTAAGCACCTAAGAAAGGAGGAAACAGGACAAAAACACATAATGAGCACCTACTGTATATTCCCAGATTGGGCTTTGGGATTAAGACATAAAGTGATTCTGGCAATATCAATTAAAACCTAGATCTCTTGAGCTTCTCTGGTGCTTTTTATATCATATAAGCAATTGCAAGGCATTGTTTTCTCACTAAAGATAATAGTTATATTATTGGAAGGGTATCATATAACTGGAAGGATATCGATATATCATGGGAAGGGTACCATCTGCAGTTTTATCTCACTGATAATTTAAGTCTGTATGGTCCAGTACAGTAGCCATTGGCCACATGTGTCTATTTAAATTTAAGTTAAATACAGTTAATTAAAAGTTCAGTTCTCAGTCGAATTAGCCATGTTTCAAGAGCTCAGCCAGTTCATCTGGCTGCCACATTGGACAGTGGAGATAATAGAAATTTCCATCAGCACAGAAAGTTCTGTTGGACACTGCTGATTTAAAGCATATTTATATATCAGTAATCAACTTAGATTAATGCTTGACTGTTTTATATTTAAAAAGTCAATTTTGCTACGAAAGAGGTAGAGTTAATAGAGGTGCTCAAATGAAAGTGATCTGTTAAAAAAACCTCATTTCAAGTTGAATAGGAGGTCTTGATATTACAGATACAGGTCTTTTGTGTGTTTTCTTGATATTAAAAAGGCCCAATGTTTTTGTTTTTGTTTTTTTATACTTATAGCTTTTATTTTTATGATCCGTGTTGTAAATTTGTACCTTTACTAATCTCAGCAGTTAGAAATTGAGAATAGTGGAAGCTTTGACTATTTTTCTCTTGGTAAACCTGAGTTGTGTTTGTTAAAATGAGTCTCCTTAGAATATAAGTAAGAGAAAAATGACATTAGTGGAGTGTATCATTGTTAATCTCTGGTTGCCTTTCAGTATTTTTTCCTCGAAAGGAAAATTAGGTCAATAGATTTCTATAATTGCATTATGCCATATAATTAAGATTTTTTTTTTAAATAGAAATACTATTTGAATGGTTGCTTTACTGCTTTTAATCCCATGGTTTTGAGTTAAGTCAGAAAAGCCAACCAGTTTTTATTCCTGATTTGAATTTAGCACCATACCATTTTTTATTCAGCATTGTAAATAGACGCAGTAGTAATTTTCTGTCAGTTGCTTTTGTTTTAAGCGACTTGTTTAGAAGTAAAGGAAAGATAGTAAAATTGTGGACCAGCAAGAATGCATACAAAATATTTGGGAATTGCTATTCACTCTGAGGCATTCACTAAAGGGAATATGGAATTGAAAGGAAAGGACTGTGTGGTGTAACTTGGCAAAATACTGTATTTCAGTTCAGTGACTTAAGATACACATATTTTTCAAACTGTAACATCTCTGAACTCAGGATATGTTTACAGTTGAAGTTGACTAGGCAGTGTTTTTTCTTTCTAAGTGAAATACAAAATAATGGCATGTCTTCAATCACTAGCATCTTTGAGTCAATGGAATTCATTGGTAATTTATTAGATACCTGAGAATCTTCTTCATTCCCTCCTTTTTCTATTTTTTTTCCTCCTTTTTTTCCCCAGGAATGTAAAACCTTTCATGGTGTATTTGTAGGATCAGCTTGTAGTCTTCATGGACCTTATATTCCAGATGTGCTGTTTTGGTGTGTCATCTTATTTTTCACAACATTTTTTCTGTCTTCATTCCTCAAGCAATTTAAGACCAAGCGGTATTTTCCTACCAAGGTAACTGGGGTGTGATTTTGGAGTCCTGATAATATTCATGTTTTTAGTTTTTCTTACCTTGGCTTATTTCAGAACAGTAATACATTGTTTGGGGTTAATGGTTGATATCAAATAGTTGTAAAGAACTTATTTATAGTGAAAAATGTATATTACGTTTCTGAACTAATACTAGGAAGATAATGGTACCATGAGGAATGGGATGGTAGTACGTTAGTTGTGAAACGTGTTTCTTTTTAAAAACCTTATTCACACTTTCTAGTGGCATATTTTAATCTGACAGATGAGCATAATATGGAAAGGACACATAGTTTTTCTGTGTTTATTTTAACATAATCCCTTTAATATAGGTGCGATCGACAATCAGTGACTTTGCTGTATTTCTCACAATAGTAATAATGGTTGTAATTGACTACCTTGTAGGAGTTCCATCTCCTAAACTTCACGTTCCTGAAAAATTTGAGGTAAGGATTAAAATATTTGGTTATCTGTTACTTGGGAATACCAAACTATTTTAAAATTAGACACGTTATAGGAATATATACATGTTTTTTCTCACATACATAAAAGATGACAAGATGTAAAGAGACAAGTGAACCTATTTAGGAAGTAAGCAAGAAGGTATCAGAGTTAGTCCCGTCAGGGAGAGTGAATGAAAATACTCATGGTAAGTACTTGGGAGTCATTTAAAAAATTTGACCCTGCTGTTGTAGCTGGAGTTCATGATGTATTTTCCAGGCAAAAGAAACATTCTTTATTCCTTTATAAGGAAGTGACTCAAACTTGAATTTAAAATTGTAATGAGGAGATCCTAGTTAAATTTCTAGTAGGGTGGGGTATCCGACAGTAAATGGAATGCTCCAACAGTAAATGGAATGCTCCATGTCTCATTTTCCAGCAGAATCAGGAGAGAATCAAATATATTATTCCACAAGAAAAATGATACTTACCTGACCATCCATGAGCTCTTTGCATTCATCAGCAGACTGTAGCTATGTTGTACATAATACAGCATATGCATAATAATAGCATTCAAGAATTGTTTTCCCTTTTATAAGTAGGAGTTGGTAGCTTTTGAATAGTTTCTGGAATTTCCTATAGTTGAGATATTTGTGTCACTGGTTATGTTTATCTTTATAGCAAATTATATGACTTCTTTTAAAAACAGAAGGTTTAAAGGGGATTAGAAATAAGGAATAAAATGAATATAATTTTAGTCTGTTTTATTTCTCATGGGAAAAAATTGTTTTTAAAACCAGTAGTCTCCAAAGTAGAGTGCATGGGTGGAAAATGATCCACTAAAATTATATAGAAGGTCTACTTACATTTTTATTTAAAAATAAAAATTTAGCTTTATAATACTTACTATATGAATTTTACTATGGAAAACCATTAGTAACCTAACATATAAATGCTTATAGAGCCATTGAGTATACTCAATTTTATTAAAAAAATTTTTTTATTGTTTTGCTGCTGGAAGTATGTAATAAAATTTGGATATCTTTGTTTAAAAGCATAGCTATATGAAAGTCTTTTTTTTTTTTTTTTACCACGTCTTTTACCAAATGAAACTATAAGTTAATATTGGTTCAAAATATTACATCATGATGTAATTTCCCTTAATCCTGGGCCCAGTTCCTTATTTTCATCCCTAAATATATTTTTGTTATTCATTTATTGCTCTAGCTTTCAAGTAGCAAACTGATTTCAAGGGGCATAAGATACATTTGGGGAAGTAAACCAAGGAACACTTAAGAACTTGTGCATTGTATAGATAAAAAATTTTAATCATGTACAGTTTTGAATATCAAGCAGCTTAATGTGTATCGGTGTGGGAAAATTGGAATACCTGCATTTGAAAATATTAAATGTTCCTTTTGTATTGACAAGTGTTTTTGTGAAGAAAAAACAAACTTAAAATGAAGTTTAGGTAATGAAAACATGTTTAGATTTCAGTATATCCAATGCCCTCCAAGAATATTAAACTCCTAGGATCTTTTAAAATTTTTTGTTATAAAACAAATTTTACGTTACAACTGTGGAATGTATTTGTGTCTGATAAAGTGCCAGATATTTGTCAGTAGATGCTTTGGAAAAATATGTCCTGAGGCCCCTGTTCTGATGTAGTACTGACCCTGCCAAGATAACTAGTCTGTAGGATCTTCAAAGCAGTTTAGTTTAGGAGTTGATCTAGTAGGTAGATTGACCTCACTTTATTTGAAGTAGGTTAGGAGCATGTTGAAATGACACTCTGCTTCACTTACCTATTTGTCTATAACAAACCTCCCCAAACATAAAGCCTGTAAAACAGCAACCCCTTAACTTGTTCATAAATAGGTGGCAGTTGGTACTAAGCTGGTTTGGGATCTTTGATGTGGCTGCAGTCATCCATTGCTTTGATGGGGGTAATATGTCTTCATTCCCATGTCTGGGAACTCAGATCAGATGGCTGAAGCAGCTGGGGTAACTGGCTCCCTTCTCTCTCTCACCACATTGTACCTCATCCTCAAGAAGGCTTATCCAGGCTTACTCAACAGCTAATCTCAGGGTTCCAGGAAGGTTAGAGAAGCTGCAAGTTCCCTTGAGATCAAAACTCAGAAGTCACACAGTGTCACTTTGGCTTTATTTTGTTGGCTGAAGTAAACCATAAGGACATCCTAGGTCCAAGGGGAGGAAATGGATTCCACCTCTAGTTGGAAAGATTGACTCCATGGCCAAGGGACCTGCGTTGAGGGATGGGAAGCATTCTTGTGCAGATAATTCACCATCCATTCCAAGATTTAATCTAGTTCTTTCTAATCCCTTGGAATTTCTTGGAATAGACACAGCCTATGTTGTGGAAGTTTTGTGCGGTAGGAAGAAACTTCTTTCTTTTTATCTTTAATTTTTTAACAGCCTACTGATCCAAGTAGGGGCTGGATCATAAGCCCATTGGGAGAAAATCCTTGGTGGACTTTATTAATAGCTGCTATTCCAGCTCTGCTTTGTACCATTCTCATCTTTATGGATCAACAAATTACAGCTGTAATCATAAACAGAAAGGAGCACAAATTGAAGGTAATTTTAAAATTTTGTGTCAGGTTTTGTAATTTCTTCAAGAGTTTGAGGTATTTTCATAATGACTGGAACATTAAAAGATGTGAGATCAAAATTAATTTCTTCTCTGTTTATAAAATGATATAGAATTTTAACCTAAAAGAACAGTTCAGACTTATAAATATTCATGTTCATTTCACTTTTCAGAAAGGAGCTGGCTATCACCTTGATTTGCTCATGGTTGGTGTTATGTTGGGGGTTTGCTCTATCATGGGACTTCCATGGTTTGTGGCTGCAACAGTGTTGTCAATAAGTCATGTCAACAGCTTGAAACTTGAATCTGAATGTTCTGCTCCAGGGGAACAACCCAAGTTTTTGGGAATTCGTGAACAGCGAGTTACAGGGCTAATGATTTTTATTCTAATGGGCCTGTCTGTGTTCATGACTTCAGTACTAAAGGTAAAATCTCTATTGCAATATTTTAACATCTTTTTTGTCATAAAATTATACTTGGTTGTATGAAAATGAAACATGAAAATATCTAAAATTAGTTTCATTTCCTGGAATTTACTTGGAAAATAATATTCTAGTATATGGTGTTTAGTATGGGAGGCATTTCAGTGTTAGATGTGTCCATCTTAGAAATACTGTAAAAGGATAGTATTAAAGACTATAGAGTTTTGGAAGGAGTTAATCCATGGCTTAGTTATGATCTAAAAGAAGAATATACCCAGAGGATTTTATAGGCATCTTAGAGGAAGTAATAGTGAAATATGTTTGACATAGTTATTTGACCAAAATGTGAAAATAATTGCTATTAATTAAATAAATGTATTCTTTCTGATCAACTAAATGAAATAACGGTAGTAGCGCTCCTTAGAAAACAAAAACAGGGCGCCTGGGTGGCTCAGTCGTTAGCGTCTGTCTTCGGCTCAGGTCATGGTCCCAGGGTTCTGGGATTGAGCCCCACATCGGGCTCCCTGCTCGGCGGGAAGCCTGCTTCTCCCTCTCCCGCTGTCCTTGCTTGTGTTCCCTCTCTCGCTGTGTCTCTGTCAAATAAATAAGTAAAATCTTAAAAACAAACAGCTAATATAAATGAAGTATGCAAGAGATTAAACTTTATGTTAAATATCTTTTAGTTACATCTGGTTTTTACTATACATATCCTAATGAATCTAGTGATTAAAAAACATAATAATAGCAAATGTAGCAAAGTATCTAATCTGAAATTTTCTTTTCATTGTGGAAGAGCTCAACTCCATTTTTTCCCTTGGTGTTTTAGTTATTGCAAAGAAAACTATTAAGTAAAGAGTTGTGTACATTTATAAATTGGGGACAAAACTTGGAGTGTGTATGTATGTTATTATACTAACTAAAAAAATTAAATACTAGAATTCTTTGGCCTTCATCTTATGAACTTTCTAGCAACTGACTAATTCACCAGATATTTGTTGAGTACTTACTCTGCTATTAAGACTGAGGAAATAATAATAAATAGGATATATTATTGTCTGCTTTTCAGAACTTGGCAGTCTAGTTGGTGAAACAGATAGGTAAAGGGATATTTACTGCATTGTGGTGAGTGTATTGTTAGAAGTACTTGACAAAAGAGGAGAAAGATTTAGTGCACTCTTACGGGGATATTGTCCCTTACTAAGGAAGGTTGCCTTTAAAATTTTTTAAGTATTGACTGTATATAGGCAGAAAAATTCAAATAGAACATCAAGAAAGCCCTAAAATGAAAACTTAGTCTCCCTATTCTCCCTTACTTTCCAAAAACAACTCTCCAGAGGTAAACTCTTTTGAACTTTTTTGTTTTTTTAAGTTATATTGGTGGTTACAACCATTATAGTTTTACATATTTTTATAATTTTATTTTTTGCTTGATTATTTTTACACTGAGTCTCTTTGCCTAAGAGTGATTCTCAAAGTTTAGTCTAAGGACGACCTCTGGGTCCACAAAAGCAAAAGTATTTGGGGAGTGTGTCCTCAGTATACCTTTGAAGAACATAAAGGGGTCCTGAGACTAAATACCTTGGGAGTGTGTCATGTAAGGTCGGATGTTTTATGAGGATTTAGCACACTTAAGTGGCCACCAGCCAGTCTTCCTTCCATCACCTGCCTTTGGTTGACTGTGTTTTTAGTTTTATTTTAATGGTTACCAACATTTGCATTTTGTGCTGTAATTATAATTAAACTGTCCATGCTTTTTCTGTAAGTTAAATTATAAAAATGTAAACCCTCTGGGAACACATAAGCAGTATTATGATGATACACCTGTGTTCACTGAGGACTAAGCAGTCCGATCTGCCTGAGTGGAGGCAGAAATATACCCTACTTCCCTAAGCTCCTATTGCTGCTTGAAGAGTAACTGCCCAAGCCTTAGGACCCAATAAGTTTTCTTAGCACCTATTACCTTCCCTCACTTTAACAAAAGAATTGCATATGCTATTTCTACTTTTTCTTACATCTTTTTTTTTGCATTGCTAAAGGAATTCCTAATTTTTTCATATGTGGTGCCATGGGTGGTAAACTTTCAGAGTTCTTTCATGTTTCAAATTATTCTCACATTTGATTGATAGATATACATATGTTTCAGTGTTCAAATTATTTTTCTTTGAGTCTTTTTTTTTTTATTTTTAAAGATTTTTATTTATTTATTCATGAGAGACAGAGAGAGAGAGAGAATGGCAGAGGGAGAAGCAGGCTCCCAAGGAGCAGAGAGCCCGATGTGGGACTCGATCCCAGGACCCTGGGATCATGACCTGAGCCGAAGGCAGACGCTCAACCATCTGAGCCACCCAGGCGCCCTTTTCTTTGAGTCTTAAAGTCATTGTTTCCTATAGACCAGTGGTCCGAATAAAATGTCTGATACCTATTTGGTTTTTGTAATTTCAGAGGCATTTTCTTCCTTTCTAGAAGCTACCAAAACATCCTTTTTATCCTGGTGTTCTGCAATTTCACTAGGATATTTAGGTGGATATATGGATAAGGACTTTCATTCACCCTACCGCTCTCGCTATGGGCCATTGTTCTCTGGAAACTTGTGCCTTTGATTATGGGAATGTTTGGCCAGTGTTTAGTTTCTTTTCTTTCTGTTAGATAGTTCTTCAACTTCAGGTAGACAGATATTTTACCTTCTGGAAATGTTCTCATGTTTCTATCCTGTGCCCTCACTCTTAATGAAAATTTCCTGTTTTTCTTAGATTGATCTCTTTAGTCTCATCAAAATCATTATTTTTTTTTTTTTTTTTTTTTTTTTTTTTTAAAGATTTTATTTATTTCACAGAGAAAGACACAGCGAGAGAGGGAACACAAACGGGGAGTGGGAGAGGGAGAAGCAGACTCCCTGCCGAGCAGGGAGCCCGATGCGGGACTCGATCCAGGGACTCCAGGATCATGACCTGAGCCGAAGGCAGTCGCTTAACCAACTGAGCCACCCAGGCGCCCTCATCAAAATCATTATTACAAAATTATTTATTTTGATAATTATATCTTTAAATTTCTAGAAGCCTTTTTCATTCTGATTATTTATTTTTCCTAGCATTCTGAAGTTGCTTTATGGATAAAATATTTTCTTGAAATTTCCTGAGGGTACTTATTAGATTTTTAACTTGTTTTCTTCTCTTTCTATAGTACTTTTTCCTCCTAGGTTTCTTAGGAAGGACATACTCAGTTGTTCAGTAGAGTGTGAATGTGGTTTTCCTCTGTAGCTGTTAGGTCTTTTTTCTTTGCAGTTCTTTTTCTTGGTGGTGAGAGTACTGCTTGTGGTTTTTGAGTAGGTGGATGGAGCCTGCTAATGGCTTTCCTGTAGGATGCCTAGGTATGATAGGTAGGCATTTGGGATCCCTCTAACTGCCAAAGTAATAAGGACTTTCTTTGGAAGTGGAGTTCAATTATTATATCAGTAAATGGTACTATTGTATAGTAGTTACTATATGGTAGTGATAACAATAATAATGGCTAATGCTTTTAAAAATTTTTTATTGTTGTTATTTTAATTCCTGGCTAAAGCTTTTGATTGATAGGCACCATGTGCTTTTCTGAGTATTTTAGTATTTGAGATCCTTTAATCTTCATGCAATCTGTTACAGAAATTATGGCATAGAGAGGTTAAGGCTCAAGAAAAGGTTAACTTCCATTTTAAACCAAGCAGTCTGATTGTAGTGCTCATATTCTTAACCACTGAACATTCTCCTGTTTCAGGAAGAAACATGTAGGAGAGAGACAGTTTTTCAAGGAGGCTCTCGTTTATTAGCATTTTTCTTATTTATAGAAAAGTTAGATCTCATCACTGAAAGATCTTTTAATTCTGTCTCCATAGGTACTCACTATGTTTTTGTGTATTTTATTACTATGAAATTGTTTTAGTAGCATGGGTTCTAACTGTGGTCCTTTTATTTACAGTTTATTCCAATGCCTGTCCTGTATGGTGTTTTCCTTTATATGGGAGTTTCCTCATTAAAAGGAATCCAGGCAAGTCTTAAGTAGTTAATAATTTTGTAGAAAAAGTTAAAACATATTTTAAATTTGCAAAGATTGTTTTTATGATGGTAGTGATGTATTCTCAACTCTGATACTCTGGGAGGCAGGTTAGCTGATGACTTCAAATCCACATTTTCCAAGTGATTATTGCTTACTACACATTTTTCCCTCAATGAGCTCATGAAGGAGATCATCCTTACCTATTTTTAATAGAAGCCAATGAAAGGCCCTGTAACTACTGATAAAGACTAATAGTAAGAAGGGGGCATGTTGAGGACTGGAATGGTTAATACTTGCCATTTGTGTGGTGCAATACAGTTTATAAAGCCTAGTACACAGATTATTGTCTGTGATTCTCAAAACATTGTTAAGCAGCAGGCAAGGAAGAAATACTAATTTTGTCACCTGGGAAACAGGAATAGAGGGACTTATGGATGGTTCTTAACCAAGTAAGCAATGGAGCCAGGGTTAGAACCCAGTGATTTCCCTACTCTGTTTGTCTTGTTGATAATAATTCCTGGAAAACAACCTGATAAAATTTACTAAGTTCTTCCTGTAAAACACTGGGCTCCGAAAGCACTGTTAGCACCACGTGGCCACCTTATCAGGGAAAGCTGACAGCTGGTGCTGGCAAGGCTTCTCAGAGACAGCATCTTTATTTTTTTCAGTAGTCCCGGATCTCCCCCCCACTGGTCAAGGAGTGATCTCATTAACTCACTTGATTTTCTTTTTTTAATTTTTTCTTTTACAACTTTCGTTTACAATTTTGTGAGATCTTACTCCTGGTTTATAAATGAGGGAACTAAAGTTCAAAAAGACCAAGGAGTTTGCTCATCGTTTCCTTTTCATTGGGTGAAAGTTTAGTAATTGTTACTTCAGGCTATTTTATAAAATTGATAATGTTAGAGTTGGAAAGAACCTAGGAAATTGTGGCTCTCTTATTGTACATATTAGAAAACAAGGTCAAAGAAAGTAAATGCCTTGTGCAGTTGATTATAGCAGATAAATTTATTTAAATATTTTAATCCCACATATTAAGACATTTTCATTTGTGTTTTCTGATTAAATTAATTGCATTAAATTAGAATGATTGCCTTGGTTTTTGCTCCTCTGCTTGAGTCCAGATGTTCTGTACTGAAATATTCTCCTATACTATCAGAACATATCAAGGATTAGAGTTTAAATCACAAAACGCTAAGGTTGTATATAATTTCCTAAGTAGCAGAAATGATACTTTTGTTGAAAACTTTTTCTTGCTTTGTTTTCCATTCAATACATAGTTTTTTGACCGTATAAAATTATTTGGAATGCCTGCTAAGCATCAGCCCGATTTGATATACCTTCGTTACGTGCCTCTCTGGAAGGTCCATATTTTCACAGTCATTCAGCTCACTTGTCTGGTTCTTTTGTGGGTGATAAAAGCTTCAGCTGCTGCGGTAGTTTTTCCCATGATGGTAAGGCTTTTTTTTTTTTTTCCCCTAACTTTTTCAGACTTTGTCACTAGTTAATAACACTCCTGTGTGTTTCAACAGTGTTTTACTAACGTTTATCTTAGTACTATAATACAGTAATGTATTAGTAATATTTATATTTGAGAAAGGAAGTAGCCCATTTTAAGCACCCTAGGTGTTTTGAAATATGAATTGGCCCTTTCATAGCTATTAAACGAGTCACTTTAGAAACTGAATTTGCTTTTTATTTTCTATATTTTTGTTTGTTTGTTAGTCCTTGGGCTATAGAATGCTGTTTTGTATTTTTAAACAACTTTTACATTTGTGGGACAAAGATGATAACCAGATGTAAAAAAGCAAAGCAACTGGAACAGCTTAGTTCTTTAATAGAATGTTTCAGTACATCTTTCTCAGAAATTAACAGATCTAGAAGTTAAAAAATAATAAAGATTTTAGATGATATATTAATAAGACAGTATGGTTCACTAAATTACCACAGAATATTGCATTTTGTAAACAGAATATTCATCCTTTGTAAATTCCATGTAAACATTGGCTATGTACTTGACCACAAAGAAAATCTTAAAAATTAAAAAGCTGTAAAAATTATGCAGGTAATTACATTTCCTGATCACAAATAAATTAAGTTACAGATGAATAATGAAAAGCACTAGAAAAATCTAAAGCATTTAGACATTAAATACTGAAATAATCCCTGGGTTGAAAACTGAGTTAAAAAAAACATTGTAGGTATTGCAGCAGAGAATTTTTAACCAAGTCTGTGAGAGACACCTAAAGTTCATAAGGAAAATGTATACCCTTCATTACATATATTATTCAAGAAGACTTAAAAAAATGCAACCAAATTTTTTATTTGTAAAATCAGTAGTGAATAAACTCCTTCCAAGCTTGAGTAAAGAAGAAAAGAGAGCAAAATATACAAGATTAAGAAAGAGAAAAGATATGTAATCACAGCTGTGAAAGAGATTTGAAGGGCTTTAAGAAAATACTACATGAATCTATAGGAATATTATACATCTAGAGTAGAGGTTGACCAACTTTATTTCTGTAAAGTGTCAAATAGTAAATATTTTCAGCTTTGTAGGTCACAAGATATATAGGCACTTCTATAACAGGAGAGAAATTTCCATAATTTCTTATTGGTGAAATCTAAAAAGTAATTTTACAGTTTTTTAAAATGAAAGACTACTCCGGTTTCATCTTGGGGGAGACAAACCATGAGAGACTCTTAATCTCAGGAAACAAACTGAGGGTTGCTGGAGTGGAGGGGGTTGGGAGGGATAGGGTGGCTGGGTGATAGACATTGGGGAGGGTATGTGCTCTGATGAGCGCTGTGAATTGTGTAAGACTGATGAATCACAGACCTGTACCCCGGAAACAAGTAATACATTATGTTAATTAAAAAAATTAAAATGAAAGACTACTAATGAGAAGAATGGAATTCTTTTTCATTTAGGATAATATTTCACTTGGCTGAGGCTGAGGTTTAGAGTTAGTATTCCCTGTCATCAAATCAATTCCAAATGTGCATCTTTAAAAGCTATTTTAGGTCACAGGCCATACAAAACAGGTAGGGCCAGATTTAATCCAAGGGCTGTGGTTTTCCTGCCACTGATCTAGAGGAGATGGATTATTTCCATTCTATACATACATACATTTCTGAGAATTAACCCAAAGAGAAATATAAAATCTATGGATCTGTTTAACTCAGTTGCATACAAGAGACTGGAAAAATGGCCAAAGATCTGCCCTTGGATCACAGGCCCAGCTGAGTTTTAAGAACTTTTAATTCCAGTACTTCTTGACTTATTGTAGACCAAAGGAAAAGATGGAAACGTCTGCATTTTTTCTCATGAAACACTAACAAGATCTTAATACCAAAGCCTAATAAAGTTGTACAAAAGAATGATGGTGACTTCTCACTAATATAAGTGCAAAAAATCTTAAGATATTAACAAATAAAGAAATTTACAGTGTTTCTATAAGTAATATATCATGATTAAATAGACTGTGATACTTTAGCAGCAAGTAAGAATTACCAACATAAAGATAGAAAGACTTATAAAATTGCAGTCATTGTGAATAAAAATTTGTAACTGAGTTCTAATATAAGGAAGCACACTATTACTGTTATTTGATATGAAGATTCTAACTGTGATATAAGAATAATACAGTATTTGTTATAAGGAAGAGATAACATTATTTGTAGATAATGTGATTGTTTGCCTATTAACTCAAACGACTCAAATGAAAAAAGACTAAAAGCCCCTAATAGAATTAGTAAGAATGCTGTTAGAGTGAGTGGTTACAAGAAAACTCATTGGCTTACCAAAGAAGTTTATTATAATGATAGCTTTGGATGCTGGAAGTTTGAAGTCAGGGTGTGGATGGGGCCATGCTCCCTCTGTACCCTGTAAGGGAACCCTTTTTTGCCTTTTCCTAGCTTCTGGTGGTTTGCTGAAAGTCTTTGGCATTCATTGTGTTGCAACTGTATAACTCCAAACTGCCACCTTGTCATGTAGTGTTCTGTGTATCACTGTATCTTTATATGGCCATTTTATAAGGATACTGGACGTACTGTTTTAGGAACCCACCCTACTCCAGTATGACCTCATCTTAATTTTATCTCCAACAACCCTATTTCCAAATAAAGTCATATTCTGAGGTACTGGGGGTTAGGATTTCAGTGTATCTTTCATGGGGACACAATTCAATCCATAATAATGTTGAAGTACATAAAATTAAGACCTGAACAAAGAGGAATATATATCATGTTCTTTGTTTTGCATACTTACTGTTGTAAAGATGTCATTTCCAAGTATGAATGTTATGAGTTTTATTTGCGTGTGTGTTTGTGTGTATTCGGGGAGGTTGTTGTCAGTGTGAACCAGATAATTTTAAAGCTTATAGAGAAAAATAAGTGCCAGAGTCATAGATAACAACATGGATGGTAGAAATGTTCTGTATCTTGTTTGGATGTGGGTTCCATGAATATGTATGTTTGTCAAAAGTGTCAAACTGTATATATGATATTTTTCTATTTTACTATATGTAAATTGCATATTAATGAAAAAAATAAGGATATAATAAATACCAGAGGAATAACAAAACAAAGCTAATTAAGAATTCCTGGTTGGGTCTGGGGTGAGGGACTTGATTGTTCCTGTGCTGATACCATGCTGTTGTGATAACTAAATATTTAAAAATTGCTGTCAAGTCAGTGCAGCCAACACAGCATGGAATTGGCATGGGAACAGACAAAAATCAGAAAAGTAGACTAGTGAGTCCAGAATTTATCAGAATATATGAGAACTTACCACTTGAGTACCATGAACAGGTTATTTCATTAAAGGTGATAATTCATCTATGTGGGAAAATTTAGTATATAGTCTTAGAAGACTTGACTGTGTATGGGAGCTAAGGTTGCTTCTGTAACCAGTACCATATTCAGAAAGAAACCATGAATGAATTGAAGATTTAAATGTTAAAATGTAGTAGAAAATTTTGAAAAATATTTATATAGTCCAGTGATTGAGGGTAACTTTTCAAAGAAGATAGGGAAACCCAACTGTAAAGGAAAGATATATTTGACCACATGATAATTAAATGTTTTATATGAACATAGTAAAATTGGATTGTGAACTGGGAGAAGGCATTTGTAACATATAAGGCAGATAAAATGCTTCTGTCTGAACTACACAGAGCTCTTATGAATTCATGAATAAAAGTCATCAAAAGCAATTGAAAACCAGGCAAAAGATAGTAATAAGGAAAATGGTAAGAACAGAAGAAACCCAAATGGCCAATGGACAGTTGAAAATATCTTCAACCTTAGTAGCAGTTAGAGGAAAACAAAGTAATGGTATATCTTTTTCATATATATGATTGGAAAATCTAAGCCTAATATTGGCAAATGGGTTCTCTGTTGCATTGCTTAAGAGATTTTTAAATTTATATCTATTTAGGGATGCCTGGGCGTCTTAGTCAGTTGATCGTCCTACTCTTGATTTCTGCTCAGGTCAGGAGGTCGAGCCCTGAATCGGGCTCTGTGCTGGGCGTAGATGGAGCTTGTTTAAGATTCTCTGTCTGTCCCCTCTTCCCCCCTCTCACACACTCTCAAAAAAGAAAAAGTTATATCTGCCTATATAATGTATATAATTTAAAGTCATCATAAAAATTAATAATCTTGTACTGTGAAGATACTGTGCTTAATCTGCTTTATAATTTTATGCAGAATGCAAGGGATTTATATAGGAAGAGGTTAAAAATGCCATTTCTTTTGTATGTTTGCTTTGAGCAGGAAGCTTGAAAGATAAATACGTGACTCAGTTCCTTTGAAATAAGATGGTGTATGAAGTGATTTTAATTTTTTAAAAAATTTATTTTATTTGAGAGAGAGAGGGAGAGTGCACGCGTGCACTTAGGGAGGGGCAGAGAGAGACTTTAACAGACTACTTGCTGAGCGTGGAGCCCGAGGTGGGGCTCATTATCATGATCCTGAGATCATGACCTGTGTTGAAACCTAGAATCCCAACGATTAATCAGCTGTACCACCCAGGGGCCCCTGAAGTGATTTTTAAATAAAATACATGAAGTACTTTTTTGTTATTTATGACTTGATACTATTTCTCTTTAGATATAATTTATATATTTTTAGATGTTACTTAATAGTTTCTCCCCCACTTTTTTAAGGTTCTTGCATTAGTCTTTGTACGCAAACTCATGGATCTGTGTTTCACAAAGAGAGAACTTAGTTGGCTTGATGATCTCATGCCAGAAAGTAAGAAAAAGAAAGAAGATGACAAAAAGAAAAAAGAGAAAGAGGTAATTTACGCTATTCACTTGTTGTTTAATATTTCGACCAAGTAGCAGGCTCTCTCGTGGTCACTTTACAGGAATCTGCTCCTTTAATCCTCCTAAAAACCTTATTATTATGAAGTGTAGGTACTTCTTTTATTTCTGGTTTACAAATAAGGAAACTGAGGCAGAGGTTAGTAGGTAACTTGTTCAAAACATCAGCTCTGACCCATTTTACCAACTTAAGTTGCCTCTCCAAAGCCCTGACCCAACAATAACCTTGTAAAAATTACGTATCACATGAGTACTTATTTTTAACAGTGAGAGAATTTAGCAGTGTTTAAAACATAGATAAAGCATAGGTAACACAAGCACATTAAATACATAAGCACATTGTAGTGTACATTTTAATTTTAACATTTTAATAATCTGACATATACATAATGACAAAGGGGACTTTAATCTTTTTATAAAAAGTACTGTTAAACTCTAGCCTTAATATGTGGTATCATGTACCATTAGTTAATTTGTATACAGAGATTTACATGAATATTTTATTCTGAATTTGATTTTTTTAAATAACCAGCTCAGTGCTATTAGTAAGAAGGAAAAGTAGAAACTGAACATATAGCATAGATGATTGTATTGATTTTAGTACCCTACTCAGTTTTCCCATTAAGAATATTGTTTGAAAATCAAAGATAAGAAGAAAGATTACACATTTTAAATATTGTGGTGTGTTTAAATAGAGATCTCACAATTACTTTTTTCCTTCTCATTTTTGAGAGAAAGCAACATAATTTATGCCTTATTATATTGCATAGTATTTATGGAAATGTATTTATTAAAACTTTATGGACAACTGGGTTTAAGCCTTGGGATTTTTTTCATAGTTTGGATTGATTATTCAGTGCTGATTTATGGCAAAATTACTGGTTTTATGTTTACTTTTTGACAAAAATTATGACTAATTAGGATACTAACTGGAACACTAGTTTGAATTGAGCCTCCAAAACTTTTAAAAGATTATTGTTCTCTTTAAAACTATATTATATATGTAAATGTTCATGAGCTTTTGGTGAGTTTTCAAAGAGGATGCAATTCATTTATAAAATACTTAGGTTAAAATTACCTGTTTATTATTTTCTTTTTAAGTTAGAATAAGGTTCAGTGTATATAACTGAAGACGAAAGAAAAGGAGGCTTAAACACAAGAGTTTATGCTCTCCTGTAGATGTCTTGAGGAGTAAGTGATCTAGTGGGATGGTTCCACAGAGTTGTCTGGAGCTTCCGTGCTGCTGTCCTCCCATCCTCGGCAACAGTTTCCATTCTCAGAATCACCTAATAGGTCAAGATGAACGCTGAGCTTGAGCTGTCATGTTTGCATTTGAGATGGCAGGAAGGAAGGGGGTGGGGTGAGAAAGCAAAATGGGCTGTCCCCTGCTATCCTGTTTTTTAAGAAGTCTTTCTAGAAATGCCATCCAGTAAGTTCCACTTGTATCTCATAGCCACATGGAGTTGCAGGGAATGCTGGGAAATGTAGCAATGGTTTTATTTTTTTTTAAATGATTATTTTTTAAAAGCTGGGCATAGTGCCACCTACAAATACTGGGGTTTCTAGTGGTAAGAAAGGAGAGTATAGATGCTCTTCCAGTCCATCCTGTCATGTCCCCAGTAATTATGATACCATGATTTTGCGTCATGTCTCCAGTGTAAATTGTTCTCCACCAGGGGTGACACTTCTCCTCAGGGTTCATATTTCCGTGTTTGAGAAATTTTTGATTGTCAGAATTGGATGGGCATCCAGTGGGTAGAGGTCTGGGGTGCTACCGAACATCCTGCATATACAGGACTGCCCCTTACTACAAAGAATTGTTTGGCCCTAAATATCAGTATTGCTGAGATTGAGAAACCCTGCCTTATCCAAATGAGGTTTTGCTTATATTGTATTGTAATGCAAGCCATCAGATTTCACAAAATTTTATCTCTTATTATATACTAATAATTTGTTAATAAAATTTATGTAAATTGATTTTAATGTAGTATTCATGATTAACTTAAAGAAATGAAAGTTATAACCATTTAAAATTTAGCCTTTACAAGTGGTTGTTTTCTTTTGTGCTACCAGTATGTATTTATAATAGTAAAAGGAATTTTTCAGTCATGGCAAATATGTTTAAATATATTGTCGGTTTGGGTTTCTAATTCTTGAAGATTTTATATATTAATTGGTCCTCCTGGAAATATTCTGGGAAAAGTAATTTTTTCATGTATGTGCTCTGAAGGAAGCTGAACGAATGCTTCAAGCTGATGATGACACTGTGCACCTTCCATTTGAAGGGGGAAGTCTCTTACAGATTCCAGTTAAGGCCCTAAAATATAGGTGAGATAAAACTATCTTGTAAAATGTATTTTTTTATACGTGTCAAGTACATGAATAAGCCATGTAATGCTTTGTGATCTCTATTTTTAAAAAGATGACAAAACCGGTATCTGGCATAATGCCAAGACCTAAAGGGGGTCTTCAGGAACTTGAAAGGGAAGTCTCATGGTTCTTCCCCTCGCAGGTTTGTAGGCAGGAGTGAAGAAAAAGCTGGACTTGGACCAGAGCCTGAAACCAACTTCCATGCCAAGCAGACAAGAGTTACTTGTCGTGCATCACTCCTTCTGTTTAAATGGAGATTAAAATCAGTATAGCTTTTTCCTTTCTGTCCTTTATTAGGCCTGCATCAGTGTGTGCTGGAAAATTAACCTTTGTAATCCATTTTCTGATAACCTTCCAAATTGTGACTATGTTTAGAGGCCCTGGAGTTCAAAGGTGTGACTTGACTATTGGCAGTGAGTGCTCATATTAAGAAAAAGTTGAGGGCGCCTGGGTGGCTCAGTTGGTTAAGCGACTGCCTTCGGCTCAGGTCATGATCCTGGAGTCCCGGGATCGAGTCCCGCATCGGGCTCCCTGCTCGGCAGGGAGTCTGCTTCTCCCTCTCCCACTCCCCGTTTGTGTTCCCTCTCTCGCTGTGTCTTTCTCTGTCAAATAAATAAATAAAATCTTTAAAAAAAAAAAAAAAGAAAAAGTTGAGTTCCATATATAGCTTATTTTGTATGACTTTGGTGATTTACTTATAAATTTAAGAACTAAAGACAGTGGTAAATTCTTCTGTTTACTTTTTTGTAGTTTTAAAAGATTAAAAACCTATATTACTTATGCATGTATCTGATTCCTATTTCCATATTTATTTCTGATTAGCTATTGATAGTAGAAAAGTCAGTTTTAGAATGTATATAGGTTCCTTCCCTGACCAATTAATGGAAAGGGTCTGTTGGTATTTATTAACTTTGGGTTTTTTTCATTTTTTAATTAATTTTTATAGTTTTTACAGAGGTCTTACATAGACTTGTACATGTTGGTTAGTTTTGATAAATGAATTCATCAAGTAATGTTCCTTTATACTTTTTACTATTAATTTTCATCTTTGGTATTACTCTGTGTCACCTTTCATGATTTTCCCTCAAATCTTTCTTATATACTTTAAGTGCCAAGTATAGACATCTTAATATACCCAGCTATAGTGCTCTGCTTTGCTGGAATGTATTAATGTTTATTAAACAAATTAATATATTAACTTTGTTGTATTTAGAAAAAGAGTATAGGAGCTACCATGATCGTTATTAGTGACTCATCAATTTGCTGAGATTATCGCCACTTAGTTTCTGTAGGTCCTGCATTATCACTTTCTTAGTATGGTTATACATGGGCCTTGATAAATTTAAGTGGAATGTATACTTATACTGTCTGATGTTTAACAAAAAGAATGATTATCTGTATATTTACTTTTCTTTTTAAGTGATGACATAGGCCAAGATTAATGCTGCTTTGCTTAAAATTTGAACATTAAGAATGCCAGCAATTGGCTGACCTGTTTATCTGTCATAATTTAAAATCTTAAGTAGCTTTGGATTACTTGCCATGAAAATCAAATGAGATAATAAAGAAAAACATTTAGAAACTGTAAAACTCTATAAAATATGAAAGTAATTGATTTAATGTAGACAGATTTTTTTTCCCCATCGTTTCATTTTGGGGAAAAAAAAAACATGTACTGTCTTTAAAAAGAAGGTCTTAATTTCTACTAATGGGAAAATGCTTAGAGGGGGACATTTGAAGCTAGAAAGTGCTTCAAGAATGTCTCTCTTCAGTTATTTGCAGTTGGCAAACCAGCCACAGAAACATTTACTCAGAGTAGGTAGGCTCTGCCCTTGTGAATTTGGGCATTCAAATTTTGTGCACTTTAAAAAAAATTGACCCGGTAAAGCACCTTTCCTAGGGATTCTGCAATGACCATGTCACATTTCTCTGAAGTCTTATATTTTAAATGACATTTGGATTTAAATTGTGAACAAAGCTAGTACTTTCTAAAATGACTGCTATTTAGTTATTTATCACATAGCTGCCATCACATTGTGAACCTAACACCTAATTTGACATTTGTATTTGTCACTTGCATGCATGAAATATTACTCTTTTGGTGAAGAAAAAGGACTTGCAGATATATTTCTATTAACTTCATAGTACTTTCATATTACTTGTGGCTGACAGCCTTGAGCCCAAAATTATTTATGGATATTATCATGGTTGGATTTGGGGTCTCGAATGAATTTTGCAATATTTTATAGAGACAGGGAATGATTACATTTATCCCTTACAATGAAAGGACAGTATTTTGTTCTTCTGATTTTGAATTTTGATAAATTTGATAGAATAACACTTTGACACTAAAAATGTGAATGTCAGTTGAAAGTGATATTTATAAGCCTGTTTTTGTGTTATCTGTTCAAATATTTTCAGAGCTTTATTTTTACTGTTGCCTTTTCCATCATTCTTTTTAATGATTTTTTTTAATTATTAAAAACTAGTTTTTTTTTTTTTTTTAAATCATAATCTTAAGTTTTCCTTACATACTTTGGATCTTTAGTTGATGAAACTGAAATTTGTGCCAGTTATAAAAGTTTTCTAATTGACTTGAGGCTGTATTTTTTTATTACTATTTTTTTTTTATTAACATAAGGGGCTGTATTTTTTGTATTTAATGTATTCCTTTGTTATTTCAATAATACGCTTATAGCCAAGATGATCATCTTTGGGCATCATTGCCAATTTAATTAATCTTACTCCTAGTTTTGATTATACAGAAGGATGTAATTCCCCATGAAACCTTTCTAACAGAACTCTAAAATTCTGATATTTGCTAGACCTTGGTTTAAGTGCATGACAAAGAGTTTTCTCAATTTAATGTTGATGAAGACAAATATTATATAGTTAAGAGTGACAGTATTAATGCTTTTGCAAGTACTGAATACTAACCAAAAAGTGTATTTGTTCTTCAGTGTTGATCCCTCAGTTGTTAACATATCAGATGAAATGGCCAAAACTGCACAGTGGAAGGCACTTTCCATGAATACTGAGAATGCCAAAGTAACCAGATCTAGCACGAGGTAGCTGTAACTCTTTACGCATTTTCTAACTGTAGCCAATTTTCAGTTGACTTATGGATAGATAGCTATTTCATAAAACCATTAAATGTAACTCAGTTTGCATAAGTTATATTCTCTTAACAAAGCCAGCCTTTTTCTCTTCTTTCCTTCTTCCTTTTATCTGTCTATCCATCATTTTACTGAATACTGGAAATAATGATATAAGTGCTGATAGGTTACTTTTTAAATTCATAATTGCCTGTTTCCAAAAAGAATTTGAGCCATTTTATAGTAAAAATGAATATTATACATATGGCAGTATGGAATAAGTATATAAAAGATCAAAACCATATAAGAAAGATAATTACTAGGGGTTACATAAATACTCTTTTAAGTAAACACTACCGCAGTCATGCTTTCTGATGGTCCAGGAAAAAAGACAGACATGATTGTTTTGTTTTGTTTTAGCCTGCCATTTCTTCAGATGAGGTTAAACATTTTACTAGAAGATCGTTGGAAGAAATTCTTAATCCATAGATATAAACGCCATTTGGTGTTATAATGGACCACGTATTCCATAACAATTTTCATAACTCCTTTCTTAGATTTCTTGTTAGGAAGCCATTTTTTCTTTCTTTTACCCTCATTTTAAGGCCTGAATCTAAGTGATTCTAGTTTGATAACCATTAGTACTTTAATCCTTTGGGTCTGTGGAGAAATGAGGTATTATCCTGTAGTGCACTCAGTCATTCATATTCCACAAATACTCTGTGTGCACTTCGTGCCAGACACTGCTGGGTGTCCGTATACTCTGCTTGGACATCAGATTGAAACTTCTCTGGGCAAATGGTCACCAGCTGCTTCTGATGGATTAGTTATTGTCTTTCTGGCCACTGTCTTTTCATAATAATTGGTTGGGTTTTATTCATTCTTTCCCCACCTCTTCTTAAAGCTTTGCTCCTACTTAATCTCTATTATGACCCTGACCTCCTTTTTTTTTTTTTTAATCATTTCTTGACTTCTGATTCTCTAAACTGGACTGTTTCCTTTCTTCTGTCTTTGATCTTAAAAGTTTTTTAAATTTAACTCTTTGTCATTCTGATTATTCCATGCAGCTAGAATTTAGTTTGATGCTCTTTTTACTCTTAATAATTTTTCACACCTTGTCAGTACTTATGGCCCAGATTATAGTATAGTTATAAATGTAAAGACCTTACAATAATATTATTATATATTACACAGTAATATGAAAGTATCTTTTATACTTCTGCCTTTCATTCAGGTTGCCCCTCAATTCCAAATCACAGGGGAAGAAAGACAATGTTTGGGTTATGTCATTTAACAGAAAAAATGTTTGGAGGTCTTTCCTTCAATCTTATCTGGAGAAGGCAACAAACCACAGTGTTATTCTACATTGGACAGCTTTTTCAAAACACAGATATTCATATGTTACAATTAAATTAGTCACTTAAATCCATGGACATGGACTCATTGTATTTGATATTAACTTGAAAATATAGAATATATGTGTTTTGATTTTGTATTTGTGAACCAAATTTGGGGAGAGTTTGTAAATCTGTTACATTTTGCAGAAAATTATTTGATGCTTATCTATATTAACAAAGATTGCTTTTTTAATGGATTTGTCAGTGAAATGTCACAATGTACAACTATTTTTAAAAATATAATGACTAGTTTTAAGAAAATCCTTTTCAGTTGTAAGAAAAACATGAATTTCCGTGGCAAGCGTATCCATTAAAAAAAACTAAGAATTTTTAATATTTGTCTTTCCAGTCAAATTTACTGATAGGAAAAGAAAGCAGTAAAATAATAATAACGAGTCCTATGTTTATAGTATTAATAGTCCTTTTAGTCATTTCAAAAGGCTTATTACGGATACTAAGTGTTGGCCATTTTTTGAATGTAATATTTGTCCATTTCAAAATCATTTATTCTCATTTTTTGTTTTAAATAGCCCTGAAAAACCTGTGAGTGTGAAAATAAATTTTGAAGATGAACCAACAAAGAAATACATGGATGCTGAAACTTCGTTATAGAATTGAACCAAGAGGAATTATATATATAGCTATACAGATATATATATATATATCTATATATATATCTATCGTGTGTATTTCATGTCACTATATATAACAATATTGTATGTCATGCTGTTTATGTGTGACTCCTGGGTTTTTTGAAGTAGTGTCTGAAGTTTGTTAGGAACACCATGGAGACTGTGTATATAATGAAATGGTCTCTTAGAAATGAGGTACATGGTTCTTACTATTTATTCTGTTGAAAAAAAAAATTTCTATTCTGCAGCAGGAAGATGTGGGGAAATGCATTCAATCTACTTTTCCTTTAAGTCTATTTGTTCATCAGTGGTAATTCATACCAACTTTAGGTGATGTACTTTGTCCATGTATTTATAATTTTTACTTGAGTTACTGAAAATTTTTACATATTATTTCACTTCTGTTAGTTCCTTATGGGAAGAACAGGGAGTCTTTATGCCAGTGTTGTGGGAGAAATGGTAACATGTCATGGCTTCTCTGTATGTGTGTTTCATTTATGCAGATGTCCATCATGTTTCATAAGCAGTGGAGAGTTTTTGGCTGTAAAGGTAGAACAATAGAAACTTTCTAGATAAGAACTGTAGTTTTGACCTTTATGTTTTTATCTTAAAACTTCCACATCTAGGTTTCTATTCCGATAGACAAGTGAAATTGCAGGTGATTTTTATAATTTAACCCCATACCAGTCATAACTTTATGGATTTTAGAAGCTGTAAAATGCCAATTGATAATAATTAAATTTTGTTGCCTTTGTAGAAATTAATGTAGAATCCTAATGCTTTATAAGAGCCCCAGAATGCCCACTCTGTTCTCTGCCTTTGCTTTTACTTAAAATGTGGTTAAGTTTATATCAGCTTCAAGTTCTTGATTATTTTTTATTACAACTAATATGATTAAGTAATCAGGAGTCACAATTCTCTTAATGGGTTTATGATCAGTATTACTTTATTCTAAAGAATTACCTTTCACTTTCTTGTTTACGTTGTTATTCTTTCTATGGTATAGATAATATTTAATAGATTGCTATCTGTGATCTCATTTTAAACTATTTTATTTATTTTAATTGATATGATACTTAAATATTATAAGCATTTGAAAAGGTAACAAATAGAGAATAATTTAAATTGTTAATGTAAATAGTTGGTGCTCACTTGCATTTATGGTTTATTATCTTTGAAAGCAGTTGACAGATTTTACATCTTTGATATAAAGCACTGCCATATTTGTATTTTAAAAGGAATTTAGACATTTTATGTATAGCTCAGATTGATGGCATTCTTTCTAGTTTGTGTTGGTATTTGTTACTTAGTTTCTGCTTTTCTGAGCTATCTGTCTTTTTAACTGCTAGCAAATCTTTTTAGTCATCTTTTATATACTCTTAGCTCTACATGAAATAAATAAATGTTGTTCTTGTTAAGCCTGTAGGACTGGATGAATGGGGTTGTGAAAGTGATTTGGCAAGAGGATAATTTACAAAAACCAAATGAGTATTGAGAAGCCACAGAAATACCGAAATTGTGACATGAATATTAGGATGAAAATTTTAATGAAATTCCAATGCTCCCTTTAATCATTTGTCATTAAAGTACAGAAGTATGAAATTGATCTTATAGAGGATCATGAGGAATGCCAAAAGCTGATATTTTAGCAATCCTGAAGTGTTTTTAATCCATTCTAAACTACTTGGTAGCTGATACAGTTTCCCCATCTGAGACCATATTTTCAGATTCTAGTTAAAATAAAGGATTTGACTTCTGCCTCGAATGAGAAGTTGGAAATGTAGCTACTTTTCTTTAGAAAATAGAGCTGGCATCATTTGGTACTGCCTGAAAAAGAGTTAGACTCTATTGGCAATTGATAATCGAGTATTACCCATGGTGCTTATTATTCTTTATGAGCTTCCATTGAAATGATTTCTCTTATCCATAGCAGCATAATCATTTCCAAAGACCCCAGTATTTGCTGCTAATTTTGTAAACTCCCCTGATGTACCTGAACAAGGGAATTTCCTCACATCATTTCTTTGTGTCTGGACATCTTAGGGTTAACAAATGTGCTTATTTTACAGGAAGGGATTTTAAAATTTAAACTGAAAACTACCTGGGATCATAGTCTTTCTGTGATTTTTTTCAATTATGTATAGTAATTGTCCAGTGCCAGAAAAACCATGACTTGCAAAATACTTTGCACTCAGAATGTTTTTACTGTTTCTGATTGTTAATGGTTTCTACTTTCTTTTGACTACTTGACTTACAAAATGATCTGATATGACTACTCCATTGAAAAGCAAAGGTAACTCATGTTTATTAAGTAATTAACTGCTTGTTCTACATGTTTATGATATTTTTCCACTATTTCTGAACAATAACAATCATGGATAGTGTTCATTGCGAGACAGTGAAAAATTTACTACATAATATTAATTTTTAAATGTTGCCTTAAATAGGTGTAAATGAGCAGTAGTAATTGCAATGTACTGATTTACCTCAAGGTGCAAAATAATTAAACCTGTACATACTCCATTTACAAAATAAATTAATATAAACAGCCCTGCACTTTCTTAGATGCCTTGGTTTCCAGGATGGAGCTTAGTGCTACTGAATACCCTGGCTACAGAGCCACCTCAGGATATTCTTCTCTCCACCCTATTTTATTTATTTATAGATGTCTGTTTACAGAGACTATAATAAATCCTGATGTTGACCATCTGAAATTTACTTTCTTTTGAATGCTATTTCACTCTAAAATAGCAGCTTTTGAGAAAACAATGAACTTCCTTATGATAAAAGGATGATTCTATATATTCTCTTATAATATTAGATATGCTGAAGTGAAGCACAGTCTTTCTAGTGTGTGTGTGTGTGTGTGTGAGCGAGAGAGAGAATGATGTTAAAAATCTTAAATCTCTTCAGTTGTTGAAAAAAGCTGTGGCGTATCAATGTTCATATTTGCCAAGTCTTTGTAAAATGTGGGACAAAATTTATGTGCTAATGCATGGATTTATAAAGCAGGTTTCTTCACCACTCAAAATTACTAATTTTTGTTTTCTCCATCCAAAAAGCATTTGTTTCTTCCTCATACTTCAAGTTTATGTATGTATATAATAGCTTTCTAAGTTTTTCCTTTCACAAAGACAGGTTCAAAGTTCTGTAAAACGTAAAATCGTTTCTGAAACTGAGGTATTACACCAGAGCTTGCTGTTTTTCAAGGATCATATCATGTACATCAGTTCTTTAAATGTGCTCAACATGTGAATCCTGTTTTAAAGTGCTCAGATTTTGGATGTGTAAGCCATTGATATAACATTGTAATTCAAAAATGTTTAAATTAAATAACTTAATGTTTTAAATTTATTTATGTAGATTACATCATTGTTATCATATATAATACAAATGTCTGAAATGTCTTTTGGTCTAGTCCAACAATTATTTATTTTTTAGAAAGTAAGCTTAAAGATTTTAAGGACATTGAAAATTAAAAATAGTGTTCAAAATTCAAAATTTGGCAATTCTAATGTAAAGTTGGTTCTTTTCTAATGTATCAAAAAGTAATATAAGTATCAATAATAGGAAAACATAGTTGGAAATGGAATCATCTAAAGATCATTTTTAAACTTTAATTAGCACATATTGACTTCTACAGTTGAGTTATAGTAATTGTTAAACCCTAGTGGTTTTTTAATCAGATTTTGTGCATTGATTGATTTTTGTGTTGTGGCTTTTCTTCTGTTGCTTTAATATTAAAAATCTGGGGGGGTTTTGTTTGTTTTGTAGGGGGGGTATCTTCCAATGTTTACTATGTTTGAATAAATAGAAATTGAATTTTATTGTTCATTTATATAGTATTTGATAGCTTGGTATAATTTCACAGTACAGTTCTAATTTTTATGACTTTTATAATTACAATGATAATATTTTCTTTTGTAATAAAATACAAGGTAAATTAAACATTTAAAACGTGGAACTGGTATTTTTCATTTATATGAAGTACAAGTCTCTTCCAAGTCTATAATGTGAACGATCCTGCCTTTCAAATTTGTTTCATAATTGTTAGAAGAAAACTATTTTTTAGAGATGTTATTGAAGTTGAAAGAGCAATAAAAGTCTACTGAATTAGTTGTTGGATATTGTCTTTACTTTGTACTTTATTAGAATTGCTGCTTATCTTTCTTATGCAGAGGGATGGGGGAATGAAGGAAAATAGGTGATTTCTGTTCCCTGCTTCCTAATATTCATATGCTTCAGTAAGGAGACAGAAAAGAAGGTGAAACAAAGGATTCTGTGTTTCACAATGACTTTTTTTTTTAAATTTTTTTTATTCTTATGTTAATCCCCATACATTACATCATTAGTTTTAGATGTAGTGTTCCATGATTCATTGTTTGTGCCTAACACCCAGTGCTCCATGCAGAACGTGCCCTCCTCAATACCCATTACCAGGCTAACCCATCCTCCCACCCCCCTCCCCTCTAGAACCCTCAGTTTGTTTTTCAGAGTCCATCGTCTCTCATGGTTCGTCTACCCTTCCGATTTCCCCCGCTTCATTCTTCCCTTCCTGCTACCTTCTTTTTTTTTTTTTCTTAACATATATTGCATTATTTGTTTCAGAGGTACAGATCTGAGATTCAACAGTCTTGCACAATTCACAGCGCTTACCAGAGCACATACCCTCCCCAGTGTCTATGACCCAGTCACCCCATCCCTCCGACCCCACCCCCCACGCCAGCGACCCTCAGTTTGTTTCCTGAGATTAAGAATTCCTCATATCAGTGAGATCATATGATACATATCTTTCTCTGTTTGACTTATTTCGCTCAGCATAATACCCTCCAGTTCCATCCACGTCGTTGCAAATGGCAAGATCTCATTCCTTTTGATGGCTGCATAATATTCCATTGTATATCACAATGACTTTTTAATAGTTAAGAGATTTCGAAATTAAAGCCCTTTAAGAGTAGCCTGGTCCATTATTTTGCCTATAATAAGAAACAACTTCTGATATCCCAACATGAACTTGATAACCTTTGGGAGTGAGAAAGATGCTTAAGAGTTTTAGAAATTTCATCTGAAAGTTTTCTTACATTTATTTTAGGAAAAAGTTTTTTGTCAATTTATTATTCCCATTTATAGAACTTTGTTTTGTTTTGTTCTAGAAGGTGAGAGGAAAGGAAATATTACTCGTTTTGTTTTATCTTGCTCAGTAAGGTATATCTGATCTCTTGAGTATCAATTCTTTCTATGGCTAACCTTTACATTTCTACCTTTAGGCTTTGAATGAGAACATTCCTGACTGGAAAACCTTTCAGTTTCTCTGCAGTTCTTCCGAGACTCAATTTCAGTTCTGCTTTTCCTTCAAATTATATTCAACCTTCTGCTGCCAATCTACAAGATCATTCTCATTCCTCTAGTGAAAGTGTGTGTGTGTGTGTGTGTGTGTGTGTGTGTGTTTAGATACCCTTTTTTAGTCCCGGGTATCTTAGAAATTTGGGGAAGTGATTTTGTCCTCTTGTTAATCCTGAAAATTTATACCTGTTTTGTACCTGTTTAAATTACTTTTATTCTTTATATAGTTAAGACGTTCTGTTTTGCTTTTGAACTATGTGATTTACAGTGTCTATGAAATCATATCAGCGTAGTAAAAGGGGTACTGGAAAACATAAAAAGGGGATGGGTGTTAGGTCTTTCAAGTTTGGCCCTACCGCATAAGCCATAAACTTAAGGCAAACATGACCCTTTGGGGGGGCATGGATCTTCATCACGTTACACAGAACAACGTGGACCCTTACCAGGTAGAGAGGATAGTGCTCCTCTCCTTGAGAGGCAAATGTCTTCATCCTTAATCTTCTATGCAACTTTCACTTCTATTCAGGAAAGGCCAAAACATTAGTTTACCATTTTGTTGAGAAAGAGAAAGATGGGAAGCACATTCAGTATCCTGATGAAGAAGTTAATTGAAATCATTTTGTCTCACTGCTAAATATTTAAAATGTCTTTAAGAGAATACTTTTTCAAGTCCACATCATTCACTTTTGTTTTCCTATTGGTAATGTTAACCCTGCTGGCTTTATGTTCTCTGAAGATTAAATTAGTTCTATTTAGCTGAGTGGCTTTCATTTCCCCTTCCTACATTTCCAAAATGGGACCTTGTTCTTAGGTTAGGATATATATTTTTAATTACCCAACCCCAAGTGTTGCTATCCCATTGGGCCTACTTTTCATTATTATTCAAAGCAGAGAAACATCAGGGAAAGGTTCTATCGTATGCATTTTAAATGAAGTTTTGGGAGATGTAGGCACTGTACTAATTGACACACTGGTGGTCATTTTTGAGTAATATTAAGATGAGATCGAGTAGGCCCTATACTTGAAGAAATCTAGAGCCTCAGTGTGGTTAAGACTGGACTCTAGATTCAAACTGTAGGTTCTTCCCTGCCTCTACTACTTACTAGATGCGCCAGTAACTAACTGGGCAACTTGGGAAACTTATTGTACCTCCATTGTCAGTGCTAAACTACGATGAAAAATGACTACCAGATGATGTTGTGGAATAGTGTCTGGCATAAAATGATCATGAATATTTTTCATTTTTTAAAGCTTCATAATGACTCATCTTTTTAAGACTTTAATGCAATTCAATTTTTCAAGAAGCTTCAGACCTTTACAAAAGGTGAAGAGACTTGCTTATGTTAGGTGAACCGTACAGATGTATTGAGTGCCCACTTTTATTTTCACAACACTATTGCCATTGCCTGAGGTATGCAGTGCACTTGAGTAACCGAAAATGTGTTCACACTATATGAAAACTGTGTAGCATGTAGCGTTGATCCTTTCAAACTAATCTTTGCTTTGGTAGATAATTGATTTTTAGTCCACAGCTGTTCTTGAAATTAAGCACCCTAAGATGAAGCAGCTCTTGTCCATCCGTTTTATTTCAAATGCTAAAAGTTGCGCACACCGAATCCAGAAAAATCCACAGGGTTTAGGAAACCTGTCCACAGGCTAGTAGCTCTAGGTCAGGTTGAACTGGCCGCACCACAGTCCTAAGTACCACCTCCCTCTTCTCGGGCTTGGAGACTTGGGGTAGAACCTGCGCGTTCTGTGGTTGCTACGGCAACCCCGAGGCAGGTGTCACCCGTCGCTATGGCGCTCGGTACGCCGCAGCACGGCTGTTCCTGATTGGCCGAGGCGCCCCGGCGAAGCGGAAGAAGAGGTGTTGGCATTGGTTCAGCCAGCGCCGGTTGGTGGCCTAAAGCAGGATTTGATTTGTACCAACGGTGCAGCAGGCAGTGGTGTCCCCGAGGTGGAGGGGACTGGGAGTGGGCTCGGGGGTGGTGGGGTGGGCGCGACGGCCCCCGGATCCGGAGCCGCGGGTGGCAGCAGCAGAAACGATGAGGAGGAAGATTTAGAAATTGGCCTGAAGGAGGGACCCTCCCTCTGGCGCGGTGAGTGGGGCGGGAGCGGGCGTTCCTCTGCGCCGGCGCGCGGTTTGAGGCAGGGTTTCCAAGGAGATGCCCACAGGTCCTTGTGGAGCAGCCCCGAAGGCTCCGGGAGCCAGCTTCACTCGCCATGGGGCAGGGGCAGAGAGTGCGGGCTGTCGCGGGTAGGCGAGTCGCTGTGAGCCTGTCCTAGCAGAAGGGTTGGTGTCGTGCGGCTGGATGGTGGGCAGTGCCATCAACGATGTTTGATGGCCCTTTCAGGTCGATGAAGCAATTATTTTGGTTACATGGAGCGTGAGTGTGTCTCTTGCAGTCTTCTCCGATACCTCTGCAGCCTCATTCATGAAAGTCTGTACGGGCGTCGCTTTTCTGCCTTTCCCTTCTGTGATGCTGCTTTGACTGCCCTCTGCTTTTCTGCACCACGTGGGTGAGGCTATCCACTTCCACGCCTTCACGCATCACATGTCTGCCGATGGCTGGAAAGCATCCACCTCCAGCCTAGGCTGCTCCACGAAGCGCCAGACCCCCAAATCCAACTGCTAGTTAACTCCACACGTGTGTAACCCTAGAAGCTATCTCCTTCCACTCCCACCAGACTGCCTCGCCCTTGGATTCCCTATCTTGAGCAGACCTGTCCGTTCAGTTACCAAAATCACATTCTGGGCAGTATCTTTGACACCACCTCTTGGGCATTTCTATCAGTTATCAAGCCTATATCTTCTTTTTTTCTTTTCTTTTTTTTTTTAATGAAAACCTGCAATGTCTGAGAGAGTATGCTTATCTTCTTCTTTTTTTTTTTTTTTAAAGATTTTATTTATTTATTTGAGAGAGAGAATGAGAGAGAGAGAGAGCATGAGAGGGGGGAGGGTCAGAGGGAGAAGCAGACTCCCCGCTGAGCAGGGAGCCCGTCGCGGGACTCGATCCCGGGACTCCAGGATCATGACCTGAGCCGAAGGCAGTTGCTTAACCAACTGAGCCACCCAAGCCTATACCTTCTTCATAGCTGTCAAACCAATTTCCACATGACCATCTCTATTCTCACTATATTACAATTTCCACCAGTCCCTTGGTTAAATTCAGCACCCTTCCAGGTTCCCTGGTTCCAGTCTGGCCCTATCTAATCCATTTTCCCCGTGAGAGTTTGACTGATCTTTCTAAAAAAAAAAAAAAAAAAAAGAGGGCATTTCATTTCCTGCAAAGATTCTCCATTATCCTACTCCAAACTCTTTAGTTAGGCCTTCCATCGGCATTTCCATCTTGTTCATTCCCAGAACATGTCACATTCTCTCCCCTGTGTGGTAACTGCACCTGTTCACACTGCCCACAATGGACTCCACTTGTACCCTCCCCAACCCTGTTCTCACTCCCCAGTCTTTCTCTTTGTGTTGCCCCATTACTTTTCTGTTTCCTTCTCTGCCTTTGTGAAGGCAGAGGCTATGTTTGTCTTACTCAGCGTTTGCTGACTCTCTCACAGTACCATGTCCATAGCAGGGGCTCAACAAATACTGGTTAAGTGAATGAATCTCTAAAATGAGAAGTCAATGCTTTTCATGATGTCCTTTTTGGTTCCAGAAAAGTCAGAAATAATCTCTGGCCAATGAAGCTTTTGCTTATAAAATATGAATGTTGAATTTATAGGTTTTACTTCGATCTCAAGACCCTTGGTAATTGCAAACTATT